GGAGCCACAACAGCCCCCCCCCCCCCCCCCCCCCCCCCCCCGTTTGGTATCCAAATTAGGACTTGATGATCTGGATGAGTGGACAACTGGACAGGTAAAACATTGGCTGGATAGTTTGGCTCTGACGGTAGTGACTGGTTGGTTGGTCATATGCTCCCTAGATGTTAGCAAAAGGAGAGGGTTCTCTGAAAGAAACAAAAACCTTTCCAGATGTCCTTCTGCTGGAGACAGAGCTTTGCTTCAAGCCTGCTTTCTGTTTCAGCTGCTGTGGCTGGCCTTTGGCTGTGTTTTGGAACCCACTCAAGAAAATGAGTTGTGCTTTCAATCTTTATCAATGACCTGGAGGAGGCTGGAGTGCACTCTTATCAAATTAGCGGATGAAATCAAATTGGCAGAGATTAATTAATATATGCTTGAGGGCAGTGCTGCAATTCAGAGACCTAGACAGGCTGGAGGAATGAGCCAGTAGGAACTTTATGACATTCAGCAAAGACAAATTTGGAGTCCTACATCTCGTAAGGAATAACCCCTTGCAGTAGGTACAGGCTGGGGGATGGATGGCTGGAAAGCTGCTCTGCTAAAAAAGGCCTGGACGCCTTGGTAGACAGCAGGTTGAACATGAACCAGCAGTGCGCCCTTGCAGCAGAGAGGGCTAACAGTGTCGTGGACTGTACTAAGAGAAGCTTAGCCAATAGATCAAGGAAAGCGTTCATTCCCTTTTACTTAGCACTCATTAGACTGCATCCAGAAAACTCCACCTGGTTTTGGGACCTCCAGTGAAAGAAGAGTGTTGATAAATGGGAGTGAGTCCAATGGAGGGCCACAAAGATGGTTCAGGGGCTGAAACACTTGCCTTTTGAGGGAAGGCTGAAGGAGCTGGCCTAATTTAGCCTGGAGAAGAGATGGCTTTAGGGGAAACCTAATACAGCCTTTCAATACCAATGAGAAGATTATCAAGAAAATGGATCCAGGCCCATGGCAGGACGACAAGAGGCAATGGCCATAATCTGAAACAAGCGAAGTTCTAAGTGGGTATAAAGAACAACTTTTCACTCACTATAAAGACAAGCATTAGAACAATCTGTCCAGAGACGTTTTGCATCTCCATCCTTAGAGGTTTTTCAAGACCAGATTGTCTTGAAAGACCAGCAACCTGGTCTGATTACACCACTCATTCTGCTTTGAACAGGCTGGACTAGATGACCTCCAACAGTCCTTTCCAACCTGAATTACTCTATGACTCTAAGATGTTGCTTTTATAAGTTAGGCATTTTCTAATTAAACCTGTTACAAAATGTCTCCTGTTGGAGGTCTGACTTGGCTGAAAGAAATGTAATTTAATGGACATGTACAAAATCATAAACTGGTAGACCTGAAATAATTAACAAGTGATTCTTTGAACACTTGTCATTTGTAAGCAGGTGCTGAGATGGGACGCAGCAGGAGAAACTAAAGGGAATTCATGGAAAAAGAGGAAATGGCAGCAAAGAGGAAGGGAAATGGAAGTGGTGAAGAGGCAGAAGACAAGGGAAATATAAAAAGGCAACAATGTTGAGTATAGTGAGGAAAACTTATCTGCGCAAGGAAGACAGAAATTACCATGCCTTGCAGCTCTCCTCTTTTGCTGGCCCAAGGAATGTGCCATGGGAGGTCCCTCTCTCAAACTTTCAACACACAAATCTTAGTGTAAAACAAACAGATATTTCATTAAAAATAGATTGCTTTAAGAATATCCAATCTGTGGGCATGCTTTTTGACAGCCTTGAAATGGAACTAAATTTATGGAAATTAAAAACAAACCACAAACAACCCCAACCCCACCCAAAAAAACCCCCAACAACCCCCCAAAAAAACAAACAACACCACACCCACAAACAAAAAACCCTTGAGTTTTTGCTGCTTACTTATGTCCTTATATTTTCTGGAGACTGATTGTTCTGTAATGGCTCTTGCCAAATTTAAAAATATTTTTCTCATATTACATGATGACTTCCCTCTCCCTCACCCAAGCTGTTCTTTAGTAAGTTGTTCTTATTGCAAAACAGTGTTATAAATGCCCTCTTCCCTCATAGAGGCAACAAGCAGGGGAGAGAGACAGTCACAACTGATATTTCTTAGAGCACATTTTGTTCACTAAGCTGTTGTTAATTTGATCAAGTTGTTATTAATGCCAGATAACTCTTCACACAAAAGAGTCACATTCACTCATACAGTTAGTTTACTCACACAGTCACAAATTTTCTCATAGTTACCTGAGAATAAATGTCTGACCTGCAGCCTGTTGTTGATGCTAGTGCGTGCCAGTGGCCTTGTACAGATTAAGCAGACTCTTGGTGATCTATTTATCAGTTCTTGCAGATCCAACAAGCTTACTAGTCTGCAGAGTTTATCAACCCATGAAAAACTTGCACACACTACCTTGTCAGCATATATGTTTCCTGTCTTTGGCCTGTTGTCTTCAGGTAACTGTTTCTCCATACAAGCCTAGATGCTTATAGAAGCCATTCATACCAACTCACACAGAAAGGGCCTTTCTGACAACAGGCGACGTTCTTTGCTTAATCATAGCCTGGAGAATCATAAAAATTAGTGCTCAAAGATTAGTGGGTTTGGCCAGTTTGGAATCCAGGGATTAATGGGTTCTTTCTGTAACTAATTAAAAATTGTTTAGAAAACAATGCATTAACCTAAAGGTCTAAGTGTAAGGCAGTGGCTTTCAGTTTGTGGTCCATGCATTCTCCTGGGTCACGTATCTAACATAACCACGTAAGTGGGCAAGAGGAAAAGCAATCTCTGACAATGCCTTCTTTAACCATTGGATACTCTAACGGGATTTGCAATTCCTTTGGAAAATTCTTGGAGGTCTACCACATGGTAGAGATTGATCTGCTTTTTGAAATAGCTTTATAATTTTTAGACTTTAGCTATTCAACTTCTTCTGCCTGCAGCTTTGCCAGATGCAGCTTTACTGTTGCTTCTGCATTTGTGGGAAAAGCTATTCTATCTGCATAGAATAAAATCTTTATACTTCCAAACCCTGCACTTTATTTTATAGATTACTTGATGGAATCACCTGTATGTTAAAACTAGTGGGCATAAATCTTTGCCAGGTGAGTTTGTGGGATCTTAGTCATGAAAAAATGGACATACAAAATCCATGGAAAAACAGAATCTACAACAGAAATGCCATGACTGCTAGTTGAGATGGATCTAATGCCACTTTTACTAATGAATTAGAAAAACTGTATTGGGGACACAGCTGGAAAAGCCAGTTTCACATATCAGAGCATCTTTGATCATAGTATCTTAATCTTAGTGGGTTATCTGTGTTTTTGAGGACTTGCTCTAAACTTGAGAATATAAGAACATCAGAAATGAGCAGACATTAATGTTTGTTAAATGCAAGCTCAAATCTAAATTTATAGATATGTTTTGTACTTGTCACTCCGAAATTCCACAACATATCTGGAAATATGAGGTACAGCTCTTAATTCTGATGTTTTCTACCCAGACAACAGCGGTCATGTGATTGATCTGGTAAATGATCAGCTACCAGATGTCAAAATATCAGAGGAAGACAAAAAGAAGAACCTTGAATTACTAGAAGAAGCAAAGAAAGTGAGCGAGAGGTTTCTAATGCGCAGAGGCAGAAAGTCAAGAAGCAGCCTTCAGGAATCACCCACAGGTAGGTGCAGATTCATCTGCAAAGGCACAAATAAGCATCTACTGTAATGCATACATTGCTACTGTATAAATACACTTTGTTAATTCAAAGGTCAGAATCCCTCTGCCCCTCCTCACAATTCCATATAAAACAGAAATGACCAATTTTTATATTCAGATGTATTAGTGGAAGATGGTGTAAAGTTTTTAATTGCCTGAATGACACACTGCAAACACTGTAACAGGAAAACATGAAGTATTTCTGTTGAAATCTAAAAAATGGTCACAAATTTCTGTTTGTGAAGATTTTCTTCCTAAAGTTCCTATTGTACATAAAATGAAATATTAATGGCAAAATTCATACTACTGAAAAAACATTCCCCTCAGACATGATTACACAGACTTTTATTCTGAACATAGTCATAAACTAAGCTAATTGGACCAGATCCTCCTTTCAAAACAGCAGAATAAAATGTTTTGTTCTAGAATGTCAACTGAAATTATTTTTTTCCCTCTTCATATGAAGTGTTTGTGAACTAGGACAAAATGCCATGTTATCTTGAAGTAGAACTTTCATTTAGCTCTGAAATGTCAATTCAAAACAAAGTTCTCTCTTAAAATTGGCTTGACACTCTCTGGAGGAAAAAACAACTATACTTTTTAAAATTAAATCTTCCTCTTTTTTTTCTAAATTCCTTGTGAATCCCACTCTTGTATCTATTTCTCTGAAGTGCTTACAGTATCAGAAAACTGAGGAGAATAAGCATTCTGTGTATCAACAGAATTCTATTAGTTTATGGCAGGTATACAAGATAAAACCTACTCTAAGTTCCTAGTTGCCAAGAACAACATGACAATTAAAATGACTTGTCAGGTTTTGGACAAACACAGGACTGATGATTATGAGATTCACATTTTAATCTTACCTGAATTTTAAAAATTCAGAAGCTACAAGCCTAGAAAGTAAAATTACCTTTTTTTTTTGTTTTTGTCTTTGTTTTAATGAAGCTGTTTCCCCTACACTTAGTCCTAAAGTTTCACCAGTAGCATCTCGGAGCAACTCTCTCAGTCTTCCAGTTCCATCAGGTAAAATGATCTATGCAGGCTCAAACTTTAACTTACAAAAGCTCACCAAAAATATATTTTTTAATATTTCTTGAGGAGATGTTAAAATCTGTAGATTCAAGCATCTCCTCCTGAATATGACAAAGCTCATGAATGCCCACAATATATATTTTTACGTATATATATTTTTTCTATTGTGTTTTTATTCCTGTGGTGCTGCTAGGTTACATGTTCTAATTTTTTATTCTTTTCAGTAATGGAGTTTTGAGAAGCTTTAATGATCTTTCACTGACTATATTTTAGATAATTTTTTTCTCCTTTTAAATAGCGTTTTCCACATTTAAATTTTGTCCTTAATATATTATGTGGAACTGTGCATGTGTGTGTTTGCTAATGCTGTAGTAGTAAAAATTTTGAGCAAAACATCAGGATGTGCCCTAATTATGTGCGTGTCTTTCTAGGGTCTGATGCATGCACAACCACTAGTGTCGAGTCAGTATCTCCAGGGCAGGTAAGAAGGAGCTGTATAGTCTGCAAAGTAACCTGGTTATTACAGTACTATTTTACACTATGCTGTCCTGTTAGTCCCTGAGGAAAATCGAATGTTTTGAATACTATTTTATATGCCAAGACTGGATTATTGATACGTTTTTTCTGCAGAGTGAGGGACTAATAAATGTTTACTCTGAAGACAAAAATCCATGAGGTGACAAGCACTGAAGGATCATAGAGATCTGTTAAGTGTAGAAAATGGAAAAAGATCCAATATAATCCTAATCTATGGAAAAACTAATCCCTAAAATTACTTCCTAAATAAATGTGACAAGCAGTGTAAAAATTAAGAGATTTGAAGTTCGTCCATTAATATCTATATCTAATATTTGCAGCATAGTTGTGAAAGATAACCTTGTAAGGCAACTTTTTTATTCCTTTTTTGCTAGAATATCAGAACTGTCAAAGAGGATGACAGGCAAACTGCAGAGGTAAGTGTTTCACATCAAGTGTTGAACAAAATCTGCCCGTTTGGTTTAGCACACGTGACTTATTTATGTGACTAAAAAGGCTAAAAGACTGCTCACTGAGTGAAAAGAAAAATTATATTGCTCTAGGAAACTGTGAAGCACCTGCAAATGTAGTGGAGGACAATAGCCTTACAGCTAGCCTTTACATCCTATCATGCACCCTGCCCTAGCTCAATTAAAATCGATATAAGAAATACCTTTATAAGTAAAGTATAAATATCTACTATAGCCACTTTGGGGTATGCTGGTGTTTTAGGCAGACATCGTCTTCCAGATCCCTTTGGTTCAGTGGAAGACATTACTGTACCTCGTGTTCTGCACCACTGAGGGGATGTTACTGCTTCACAAAAGTATTGGTGGAGCAGTTTATATGAATGCTTCCTAATTTGTTTTAGGTAATATCAGATGGCCCTTTAAAGAGATTTTTGCTGTGAGTGGATTAGGCAATACTTAGAAAAACCAGTATGGCAGCAGAATTTTGGAGCAGTAACTATAAAGGAGAGGAGTAGTAATATATCTAAGGCAGAGCCCACAGTTTGTATGTTGGTTGCCTTAAATTGCTGACACAGCTGCCCTTAGACAAAGGGGCAGATTCTGTACAGATTACAGATTCTGCACCAAAGTAGCCAAGGTATATGCAAACATACTTTTGCCTGTTCTCCTGTAGAGATTTCAGCCAAATTATAATCTATGGTACTGCACACAAAGAAAGAAGAGAGAAATTACAATATGTGCTTTAACTTAGTGTACAAGCCCATGGTTTTTTCCCTTGGGAAGTGAGGGACTCATGGAAAACAATCAAAGGAAAGTAATAGTGCTATAAGATACAAGGTTAAAGGTGTGTACTCTGACAAACCTTACGTTAAGATGATGAGAAACTTGACTATAATGGACTCTGGAATGGCAGGAGGTTATCTCAAAAGTTCAGAGGAAAGATTCCCAATGCAGTGTGCTTTCAAGCGCCTTTTAAAAATTATTTCTCTTGTCAACAGTGCATATTTAAAAGCATATGTCCCTGAAAAGGAAATGGCTTTTTACAGTGAAAATCTGTCCTTGAGCAGGGGAAAAGAGAAATCTGCACTTGTTTCTCTGTTTGATGTGTGACCCTCTACTTTCAGAATGCTGCAAAAGGATTAATTGATCGAAGGCAGAATGATCAAAGAAAGATTTCTCAGGGAAGGTTGGTTCCTCGTTCTGCTGGTTTTGAAAACTCCAAAGAGAAGCTCTCAGAACAAAAAGAAAACTTTGATCCACGTAAACATATGGATACTTTACCTAAATGCTCCCCTTCAGGTGGTGATGGTGGCAGAACGTCTCTTAACACTTGCATGAATGTTTGTGAAAATGAACTTGGAAAGTCATTCCTCAAGAAAGCAAAAGATAATGATGTTCCTTTAAGAACCCATCTACCAGGACCAGGAGTAGGAAATATAGACTCGAAGCTAAAAATTCCTGTTCCAGAAATGAGGGACCATAAAGTTTCATGTAAACCAGAATTTAAACTGTGTGGAGTACGTCCTCCTCTACTACGGGCTGTATCATGGGATAGCTTGGAGCCTGGACAGAAGGATAAAACACCTTTAAAATTACCATCTGAGGAAGATAAAAGCTTTGTTGTTGGTAATAAATCCACCAATCAATTAAAAGCATTCAAAGACCTTCAAATCCAAGTTCAACCAGTTCGAATGCAGAAATTGACAAAGCTCAGAGAGGTAAGTTGTAGTCATCATTTGTATCCTGTTTTAAATTTATTTTCATATCTTATTAAACTTTCAACTTGCTTAGCATTATTTTTATCATTGCAAGAAACATACAGTAATATAATGGGAAACAGTTTCAGCAAAATCAATACAGAATTGTGTTGTGTTTTTCCTTTGCAACTTTAGCAAATTGTAACCTGTAACTAAATTGTATGGAATTATTCTATTTCTTAGTTCTCTTCAAATATGCATCAACTGCACTGTGGTATCTTCAATATGCACATATGTATGTGCATATGCAGGTTTTGGCCCCCAGAAAAAAGTTGTAATACTTCTGTCAAGAAAGTACTAATTGCTTTCATTGTGACAGAAAGGTGAGTCTTAAAACACAATATATCTCATTTTTATATCATTTACATGACCTATAAACAGGAAACAGTTGATAAACAATCATGTCATTTGTAAAATGTACTTGGTACTAAAGTGATCTATTTTGATTTCTAAAATGAATTTTAGATCTGAAGAATCTTTCCTTCCTCAGGATGTAACAACATTCTCTTTAAAAGGGTCACTTAGGCTTTTTTACTTCCTTTGCTTCCCTGTGATATGCTTTTTCCGCTCCTTTGGAATTGTCCTCAGATTCACAGACTCACAATACATTGACTAATTGACTGATTTCTGTATAAGTGGGCTGAGACCTGTGTATAAACAGAAATCTTTAACTGAAGTTTGTAGACAGTTACTATGCTCTTGTTTAAGGGCTTACAAGCCTCTGTGTATCATATACTATTTGTAAACTTTCTTTGGATTTAAAGATCACTTTTACTTTGTTCAGCTGAGTGGTTTTGAGTCTTGGTTGCTATTCTCCCTTCTAAGGGCAATAGTCCTGTCATTCAAGAATACTAACCTTTGCAGTAACATTACATTTGCAAGATCTCAGGGGACAGGAAATTGTTTTGCTATGACTTTTTGCTTATTGACATTCTCAGAAAATGTCTCAAAGCATCCCAAGTTTTAAAACTGGGTGTCTCTGAGAGCCAGGGCAAGTAGAGGATGGCCAGACTTACAGTTCCTAATTCTAACATGGTGCAAATGTGTCAGCTACTTGAAGGACAGACTTGGACGGCGAAATCTATGAACTAATCTGTTGTTAAATGATTGTCTAAATGATTGGTAAAAATTAAGAATTAAACCCTAAGAATTAATCAGTGTATTGAAAAAAGTAGAAATGTCATGAAATGATAAACCACCATCATAAAGCAACTACCATGTGTATATAGCAAAAATTACCTTTGAAAGGAGAAAAAAAAAAGCAGTTTTTTCTTTTTCCTGTAGTGGTTTCCTTAACAGCCTAATATGAATATTTTCTTTGATCTCTAGTAGTTAATATTTTAAGATGAACACAGGGCTGACAAGTGAGGACCTAAAATTCCGCACTTTGGTTAATTCATTCCCATTGTATTGCTTGGGAATGGTAGCTTAGTTATTCGTCTTTTCCTGTTTATATAACACACATACTCTTAGCATATACGTACTGGAAGTTTTGATTATAGAGACACTTGAGCCATATAACTTTAAAAGTCCTAGCAGCTGTTAAGCCCAAATAGTAGCTAGAATCAGAAAATTAATACAACATGATATATAATTCCAGTTAGGTGAGATTTGAACTCTGTCCCCAGTAGGAATTGTCTACTTATAAACAAAAGCAGGTGTTTGTGAATTTTAAACATACCTGAGAATATGAAAGTAGAAAATGAGGAGATGATAGAAGGAGAAAAGATAACAAAGTTTAATCCTTGAGAGTACAGTCTTCCCTACCTGTAAGAAATAGAGGCAGAGTACATTAACAGTGAAGTATTAACTTCAGCTGTAGCATACTAAGCTTTGGTGTGAATAAATTCTACTGAATTGAGTCAAAGTGGCAAAGTCTCATATGTCTGGTTTTCTGAATTTTCTCTCCTTTCTGGGATACTTACTTATTACTATGGCTATATCCAAAATTGCTCTTTTTGCTCTCATTTACTAAAACTCTCATTTACCAAAACTCAATTTTTCTACTTGACTAAGGGCCACATGTTGCAAATCTCTGTTTACATGATGAGGAATTTTTCTAAATAATGCATGTATAAAATTTGAAATATCTGATGTTTAAGGGTGTGTGTGTGTGTGTGAATGTACATGTATCCATGCAATGTAGCATCTGACTATAGCTTAATATAAATATCTCCATTATGTTTATTAACTAAAGTAAATGTTATATTTAGTCTTCACATGGCAGGGATATTTAAATTGAGATTTCTAGTTAAGTTAATTAGAAATGTTACTGTTTTTCTTAACAGGAGCATATTTTGATGAGAAATCAAAATTTAGTTGGACTTAAACTTCCTGAACTTAGTGAAGCAGCTGAACAGGAAAAAGGTGCAGTATCATAAAAGCTGGAAGGGGTGTTTGTTTGTTATACACTGATTTTTATAATTGACTAATATGGAGGGGAAAAAAAAGTCTTTTTCTTCAATTGCAATAGTAGTTGTAATGAAGCAGTCATGGAGGAGGGTAGTAAATGATGAATAAGAGAGACCAATAATGGAAGTACCTGAATTTCTTGATGACCTGAGCCAAGAAGATACTGTAGGTATTATTACAACCAAATGAAAAGATCCATACCTGGAACAGAGTCTAGCTTGTACTTAATAGATGGAGGACTGTCTCAAGTTTCAGTGACTTTCTGAAAAAAAGTTTCAGCAGTGATGGATTGAATGGATGTGACCTCTGCAAGATATTGTGGCCGTAAGGGTGAATTTGATCCCTGCAAGTATAAATAAGAGATGGAATGCTTTTTTCCTGCTTTTTTTATTTTAGTATATGTGTGGCAAATATTGAAATGGCATGTTCATGCGTGGTCTACAGCTCTACGTCAATGTGGATAGGTAAGAGTAAGGCCAGAGAAGAGACATAAATGTGATTGAAGGACTGGAAAAATATGCCTTGCAATAAGTGTGTGTGGGGGTTTAGCTCAATTTATATGTTTTTTAATAAGGAAAAGGCTTAAAACTCTACATAAATGAGGAAACAGAAATCTGACACCAAATTTTTTTTCCAGTCTAACACAAGCAATTGAGATTTGATGCCTGTAGGCAGCATCTAAAAAAGATTCAGAATAGAAATAAAGAGCAAAGTTATAATCCTGAGGACAATTCAACAACTGGAAGAACTAAATAGCAGTAGTGCTGAGCAATCAGTTGAAAATACTTAAACCAAAGCTGTACATTTGTTTGAAAGTAGTTAAGTCAAGACTTGTTCAGAGTGTTTTTAAGGCCACATTAACTGAAATGGAGATGGTTAATATGAAAGGAGCTGAAGCTGATGGTCCAAGATTTGATCCAAAGACAATTTCCATTTTTCCTATGAATTAGCAAAAGGAACAGTATTAGATTTGCTTTGGGACTGTTTCATAAGGCCTTAAAGTTTCTGTTACATAGGGAGATGGCTGAGATTACATCTCATGTTATCTCTGGAAACAGACTCATCTTCAGTCTGAATGAAACAAGATTAAAGAGACTTCTTGTCCTCTTTCTGCATTTAGTGATTATATCTTTGGATTCTTAGATATAGTAATATTATTCCTGTCACTCTGCTAATATATCATTTCCTAGAAAATATTTAGCAGGCTGTGTTTGAAAGTGTAAAATAGTTGCCATTTTACCAACCTGTTAGATAATTTTGGCAGATCTGAAACTTTTGAGTAAAACATTATGAAAAGCTAAGCATCATTTTATCCAGCTTTTCAACCAATGTCTCATGAGCATCATTTTAAAGTCTAGTAACTTATCTAAATGATAGCCAGAACATTAAGGGTCAAGTCCTTCTCCTCAGAGGGGAAAAGAAGTGAGGGGTCAAATCCTTAGTTCATTTGTTAGGGAGACTTACTTCCTTACATTGTCATAAAAGTCACCTTATGCTTTTTAACTGCAGTAGTAACTTTGCTTAAACAATAGGAAATAGCCAGATACTTCATTATTACTGTTATGAATCAAATATACTGGCTCCATCATGTTTTGCTATCAATGCCAAGTTGTTGTGCTCATCTGAGTAAACACAACTTTGCATCTACAGAAGCTTAGATAAGTGGGATGTATTAGATCTGGAGGCATTGTGGTATCAGGCTGGCTTTTTATGGGGACACACATGACTGTTCTTAAGTAAACACTGGAATTTTTAAATATAAAGGAAATGCACAGAACTAAAATGTAGCTAGAAAGAATCTCCCATTCTTTTCTGTCTTTCACGTTAACGCTTTCCATGTCTATAAAATTTGAGCTTTTTCACACTATTTGTTTTGCAAGTCTAAGAATCTTTCTCTTACACCAAATGAATAGGAGACCTGTATGAAGATACCTTCTGAGATTCAGACTGGGGAACCTAACTTTCCTATAGGAGAGTCCTTCATTAAATTCTGGCAAGATAGAAGGAGATAGGGGAATTATTATTGTCATGGTTTAATCCCAGCCAGCAACTAAGCACCATGCAGCCACTCTATCACTCCCCCTCCTCAACTGGACAGGGGAGAGAAAATGTAACAAAAGGCTCGTAGGTCAAATTAAGGACAGGGAGAGATCACTCAACCAACTACCGTCACAGGCAAAACTTGGGGAAAATTATATATGAAATTAAATAAAATGAAGATTAAAAAGTTAAGTAATATAATTTTTTTTAAAAGTTTGAGACATATCTTGGTCCTTATGAAAGTGACAGAAGTAGAGAATGTAATTATAACCTTTATGTCCTGTTTCAGTGAACGTGCATTGCAAACAAGTACATGTTGTAGATTCATCACCGTAAGTGGTGCACAAAATCTGTAGCATAGTACATTATACTAGAATTCATCTTGGCAGGTGGCATTTAAAGCCTTAGAAAATGACAGCCCTCTATTACAAAATCTAAGCTAAAATATTCAAGAAATAATGTAACTGTACTGGTAAAGCACAAATGGAAAATGTTAGGTTAGATGTTCCAGTAATGAATTTGGGATCAGTTTGACTTCTAGGAAAAATACTAATAAAATAATTATTTCTCAGTGCATTAGAGACTGTCAGAATTCATATTACTTCAGTCTTTCTACATAAAGGATGACAATTATACTGATTACTTTTGTTGCCACTGCTCAAAAGGAAGACGGGGATCTTTAGCAGTAAAGGAGAGATGAGTGATGTATCACTATACACTGTAAAGGAAGTAACATTCTGCGTGAAGGGATGGACCTTTTCTTCTTGTTCACTTTTGCTCCCAGTAGAGTTGGGGTGAAAGCATCATTGACTTTTTAGCCTAACTGTGTCCTTTTCAAGGTCCCATTCGGCTCTGAGATGCTGACTATTGATAGTTAATGCATGACTTCTCAAATAACATTAAAAGTTTTTTATCTGAAAATGTCTTTAGGCCCTTCACCTCTCCCTTCCCCCACTGAAGAGGAAGAGACAAAGAATAGCTCTGACGTCATGCCCAGCATTCCTGATGTATTGCTGCGAAAACTACGAGTGCACAAATCGCTTCCAGGAAGGTAAAAGCTCATTAGAAGTAGAAAGACATCATCTGGGGGAAGGCACACTAATGGTATCCAGTGAGCTCCCTTTATGGAGTTCCGTTCATAGGGGATCCATATGAGTAGAGAAGTTGCTGCATCTTAAAATGTGCAACACAGTTTTTCTGAAAAAAATTTGGTGAGTGTACCAACTTCCAGTAACTGTCCAAGTTTTAAAATTAGTTTGTAAGTTCTACATAAAAAGTCTGTAACCTAACTTGCATGCTACAAGTACATTTTTATACAGGTTTTTCCACTGGTCTGTCCACTCCTGGTTTTCAGGATTGCTGCTGCAGATATAAATTCATATTGAAAATGTTAGTATTTCTTTTCCCCAGAAAAGTATCAGGCCAGATAATGCTTTTCAGTGGTAAAATTTGGGCATGTAAGAATTCTGCAGTTTTTATGCAGGTGATGATTTTTCAGGAAAATGGAGTTTATTTTGCAAACATAGTTGAAGGACTGGCTTGCGAATTCCCTGATCTTGGGCTGTGCAAGTAGGCACTTGTCAACAGATTGCTTAACACCTGCCATGGCTCAGGAGTTTCTGCTTTCTATCTTATGCAATCTGAAACAGTATGTCTGCGTGTTATAGATGTGTAGGGCAGCACCATACAAGAAATCATTTGAAACTAGAGCTATTGTTGCATAATGCAATGTAACTATAGCAAGGGAATCCCCTGGTCCATACTTTACTGAGGTAGAGTCAAAATAAACTATACCTGCCAGGTGTTTGTCCAGACCTTTAAGAATACCAATTTTCATTCTGATTTGACTTTACTACTATCCAAATTTAACATTTTCTTGACAGAATTTAAGTGGAATTTTCCTTTTGCGGGGAAGATTTATGTTTAAAATGATACAAAAGTCCATAATTTCAGATAATATTTTGCTCTGGCCCAAGAAATATAGGGAAGAAATCTCAAATGAAGCATTTATGACCACATGCCTTGCATACCTTGCACCACTGGTAACTTTAGAGACTGAGCATATTTTATTTTGTATTGCATTAGAACAAAACTAAGCTTCTTCCATATTTCTGCATAAGCCTCTTCTTTGAGAGAGATAAAACCATAACCAAAAATGCTTATTAGACATTAAAACAATTCCAAACATATTTGGCCAAAACTTTTCCTAAATTCACCCATGTGTTTTTATAGTATAAATACCAAAGGCCTTCAGTCATTTGAAGCAGTCAATAAGTGTTCTCTGTGCAGATGAAATAAATGCTTAACATTTGTCATGAAGGAACTGTTACATACAACATTTTATACAAATGAATGCATGACATGAAGAAGTTCTAAGAGACCATTGCTTGATTGTAATCAACTACTGAAAAGAAAAGTAATTTCATAGCTAAGTACAAAATAAGTGAATGCTGAACTTGCTTTGAGGATCAGATAATATACAGAACTTCTGTTTTTCAGGTAATATTCTTTACTCAGTTGGCTTAATCTATTGAACAAGTACACACATAACTTTTCATTCTTATGATAAATTTCTCAGAATGTTCCCAGCCAAAGGAAAGACACAAATTTTAGCATCCTGTGCTGTGTTATATAACATATACAGATGCTTGAACTTCCTTCTAGAAGGACTACTCCTTCTAGTAGGCTTCCTCCTAGAATAACAATAAGTAATAGGAATACTAACACTTTAGGCACAAAATGTTTTTCTGACACAGGGGACATACTGGCCTCCCTTTTTCTAGTCACTACTCTAAGTATCAATATTATTCTACCCAACAAGAAAAATCTGCTGCTCATTGATGCCAGATGCATTGATTTCTATACTTGGGTTAATGGTGCAATGAATATTACAATAATATTTGAATTTTCTGAAAGTATCCTGTCTGCACAGTACATGATAGGTATGTCAACCACAACTTCTATCACTGGCATCCACTAGAATTTGTATATACAGCTCCTGTCATTTCTTTCAGATGTTTCTCATCTCTATTCACTTGCATAAAACTGAATAGCTCTTTGCTGTTTTGGAACAAGTACAAGGATTAAGAACTTGTAAATTCAAACACATGGGATGACTGCCTTTAAGCGAGGTCTTGCAGTATAATGTTGTCTATCTCATTTCTTTTATAGTATTCTATGAAGCTGCATTTTGGTAAATTTTTCTAGTTTTTGTACAGTCAGTAGTCATTCTTGTGGTGGAACACTCATAAAACTCAAACGTATATTTTGTCAGTGTCAGAATCATGGTCAGAATCATTGTTAGCTAACTTCTAACAAAGTTAGCAGCCAAAACAGCATAGTTCAGTATGCAGTGAGCTGGGTTTTGAATTCTGCCCATATGTGATCAACATCATGAGGTTTCACCTGTTAACAGAAGGAAAATGGGTAAAGATAATAATCCAAAGTATAGCGTATTAAGTCACCCGCAACTCCAAAAGGGTAACTTCTGTCTTGCTCTTGTACTCGCAATTTATCACAATGTAGTGATATTTGCAGTTGCCAGAAACTTTGGTGTTTTCACCAATACTCAGGTGATACTGTGCTGTTGCTTTTAAAAAAAACCCAGGGGGTTTAGTCATAACAAGTACAACTGAATTAATTAAATACTGGTTTCACCAAAATAAACCATAAAATATTTAAGGGGAGGATGTCTTTTGTTGTTCTTCTTGAGTAAATATTACAATAGCTTTGTTTTTAAAGACAAAGCTAATTAAACTGAATTTTTTGCTTTTATTTCTAGCTCCCCTCCACTTACTGAAAAAGAAGTTGAGGTAAGTATGTTCTTAAACTCATTATTTTAGACATATGCCTCAATTTTAAGTGGTTACTGTAAGTCTAAGGGTGGTTATTAGAACCAGGTAATGGGATATTTTTTTTCCAAAAACTATTTCTCAGAAAAAAGCCATATTGAGCTCAATCAAAAGAAAAATTTTATGAAATATGGGCAATTGTCCCAGGCAATATAAACTGTAAAAAGACTTAGATTAGGAATAAATAAAACACTTGCTTGTGCATTCTTTGTAATAAAATATGCATTCATTTTGGAAATCACTATAATCTACTTTAATCTCAGTTTTTTTACTACTTCAATGAGACCAGAAACTAAATTAGTTAAATTGCATTTTTGTACTGGCCAATAGGAGCTTTGGGGCAGTTTTTGATGATATCTTGCAGTTAGTTTACATAATTTTTACTTTTTCAGTTCAAGCCAATATTTTTTTTTTTAGGTTGCTCTTTAGCTTGCTGGCTTTGTTTCTTCTCTTTTTTCATATACTAGTCAAGAAAAAGATCTTTATTTACATAGCTCCAATCTAATGGAACTCTTGGTGCCTTGTGCTTTGCAAAGTCTTAATCCAAAGAAATAATGCATTTGGTAAAGAAAGAAACAATCTTTAAAAACAGGGTGCAAGAGAATAAAAATGTTAGCACTTAATCTTTTGCTGGCTTCAGTGATAGGTGTTTATCCCTTAGGTAAAACAATGCTAATGGTGAGCTCATCCCTGGACTTCCTCTGCACAGATTATCTGTTTTAAAACCTTGGGGACCCTTGGAGGAAGTCCAGCTAGAAAACAGATCCATTGTGATTCTGATACTTCTGGTAGGCTGCTTCCTTCATTGTGTCTCTGCTCTACTGATCTCCCAGAAAAACATTCAGGAAAAGAGGCAGCAACACGTTTATTCATATTTTAGAGGAAGTAAAGACAAGTAATTTTTTTTAAACAATCTAATTTAAAAAATATTTTCAATTTTCTGTTTCAATACTTATTTAAGCACCAGAGTTTGTTAAACACATACATTATTCATAACTTGTTATTGGAAATTACATTATTGTGACACTTATTTAAAAGTGCCTTTTTTAATCCAAACAGAATGTATTTGTACAACTTTCCTTGGCCTTTAGAAATGATAGTTATACCTTGGAATCTAGAATTAACCAAGCAGAGAGAGAAAGAAATCTCACTGAAGAGAATGCTGAGAAGGAACTGGAAAACTTTAAAGCAGCCATTACGGTAAGAACAACAATAATTCTTTTTCTGAATTATAGTGGACATGAAAGTGCACACACATTTGAAATATGTGTGGCTATGCTTGCTGATACCTATTGTAAATTCAGCCCCAAAACTTCATTTTCTGCTGCTTGAGCTCCTTACTGTAAGCTGCCTACCACTCTACACAAGAGAGATCATTTTCTACCAGAGTAGGCTACCATTGCTGGAAATGCATAAAGGATGTTGCCCTACGTCTAGCAGACTTCAGGAATAAATACTATGAATTTGCTGTTCAGTTCTTGGAATAAGCCTGTGACAAAGCTAAGAGCATTCAGAACTGCAATTTAAGCACTGATCCATGCTCTCCTGGGCAAGACCTTCTTTAGTGAGGTGTCCAGTTAGGTGAGATACTGGAGTGATCTGAAGCCTGAGTCCTGAGATTTGTGACTGGAAAGACCTCTTAACTGCAGATAGTAGAAGGCGATACAGGAAAGGAAACAGTGACGATTACTTAAGGAATACATACAATCTCAGGATGAGGTTTTGGGCCTGAATACACTTTCATTCCAGCTGTCCCTGATGTTCTTTTATCAGCAGTAGATTTCAGTCCTTGCCAGCTTTCTCTGGATTTTCTAACTGAAATGACAAATATGTCTTTGAGATGTATCAACTTATGTGCTGTGCACAGTTTTTTCCAAAAAAGGAAGGGATGCTTAGATACCATGCTGCTAAATGAAATACCTGTAGACCCAATTTGCATATTACAAGGAGGTGCTGCCATACTTTTGAGAAATAGTTAGGAGAACGTGATTCTTCCATTTACTTTATCAAGAACATCATCAACATCATCAGGCAAGAAAGGATACAATTAAAAAAAGATTGTGATATTTACATCTTTTCATCTGGAATTTCAAATCTGCATTTCCAGATTAATTGTTCCTGAAAAAAAAAGGTTTGAATATTTTGTTGCTCTTCCTTCTGTTCTCTGTTTAAAGACCAAGCAGAAACAACCTATTAAATCTCAGGGGTTTGTTTATTATAGTATTTTGTATACATACACATTGTTACAACTAGTGTATAAGGGCTCTTGAAACTGAAAGCAATTAGTCTGTTAGATTTGACATGTATTTCTGTTAAGAATCCCTAAGTAGGCACCAAGGACCATGTTGCCAGCAAGAGACACATGTGATCAGCTTTTTCCTTCTTTATGCAGTTCACATTCTACAGTCTGGCTTTTACAAGTTTTTTTACATAATTTATAACAAAGTGGAAACTGCCATTCATATGAAAGCTTGTGTTCTATATAATGGAATAAAATAACAAGCAATTAAATGAAGTGATGGTTTCTGTATAATCTGTATCATATTAGACCTAGACTTGTTCCAATCTCAGTGGGAGGTTATCTTAATTTCTGTAGGACAGGCATATGTTATATGGCTTAATGACAGTTTACCAGTCTTTATGATTTTTTTTATCAATCTTGTGATAATTGATGTTTTATTCAAAAACGGAACTTCAAGAGAAAGCTGATTTACATGAACTTCAGATTTGTTTGAGAAAATAAGCAACTTACAGTTGCCAAGAAAAAACTGAAAATCTGAAATTCTGTGCATGGTTTTCTCAGATTCCCTTATGCCTTATTGGGTCTTGCAGTCAAATTTTGGCTGCAATTTGTTATCACACTAGCTTCCGTGATAAATACGTTTAAGAATTTCTTGTTGTTGCAATTGTTGTCATTGCACCAGATTCATCAGTCTCTTGGCTGTGTTTCTACACCAAAAGTTTGCACTACAAACGCAATTTCTCAAATGACTCGACTCAAAAAGTTACTGCACATCACTCCCTTCTTTTGAAGGTGGGAAGAAAAAGAGGAGGAGGAGAGGTTATTCTTTTCACACATCATTTCAATGTGTTGACTTACTCTTGCAGTAATACAAGTGGGGGGTTGCAGAGAACTAGGGCATAATGCAGCTGGTCAAAGGCAGAATTGTGTGAACGGCAACACAGTGATTAATTACTAAAGACAACCTCAATGCCAAAACTGGTGCATCCTGAAAATGCACTTTAAGAATATAGGAATCATCCAGCATCACAAAGTCTGCCTGTAAGTCTGAAGTAAATTGTATCAGGTTTCCTCATACCAAACTTTTCTGTGAACAGAAAACTCATTCATTGAAGAGGTGTTCACTAAAGCTTTGGCTAATAAAACATCTAAATTCACTCTTGCTTTGATAACTAATCCCAAGGAATTTATATGCTTTGATGCTTTCCAGTATTAATCTGAGCTATCGAAGTGATGATATTAATCCAGTGCATAAATGTTCATATTGATTGACAAAAAATGGTTAAGGAATTGCAATTGCTATTTGATTTACAGGCCATATTATTTTTTATTACTCTTACACATTTTGAATTCTTGAGACTATAATGTCTTAGTTTCCAAATAAGTGAAGTATCATGGAACTGAAAGAAAATGGCCTTCTTAACACCTTGTGCCCAGTGAATTAAAATTTTCTTTGTGTTTCGGCAATCATTTTAAGTACTACTTCAAATAACCTTGGTATTTGTAAAGTCCACAGGTAGCGAGGCATGATTCATCATTACTTTCAAAACAAAAAGTCTTGCAAATATGCTTAGCCCTCTTTAACTCCTTGAAAGGTGTGCCTGCAGTATGCAGTGAAGCACCATTCCAAAACGGAGCAGCAGCACTCTCTAGGTTATCTATGGTGGTAGTGATGGCACTTGTCTGGGGCTAATATGTCCATGTGTAGTTCTGCCTAGGCATCTCTACCCCAATTCTGTGGCTCAGGCTACTTCATCTGAAATAAAAGTGGCAAGACATAATGATAAAGCTTATGTATTTTCACTTCAGTCTTCAGCTCATTTATGGCATCACTATGAACACAGAGAAGCTTACCAGAAGCTATTGGAGGATATTGCTGTTCTGCGGCGTTTAGCTGCTAGACTATCTAGTCGTGCTGAGATGGTTGGAGCCGTTCGCCAGGTAAGAGCAACCTGGTGTCTAACATGTATCCTGGCTGCACATGTTCACTCTTTCTCTTTTTCAGCCTTAGCTGGAGGTTATATTAGCCCTTTGAATTTTATTTGCCATTTTGACAGATTAAATATATTTATTGTAGTGTTGGATAAGACACCATTTCAGTCTGGAAATAGAATTCAAACAGAAGATTACCCGTGAAGCTATTCAACATCTGTACAATAGGAGGACATATATTATCCAGAACTATAGCTGCATCACAAGAAACTTAGTTAAAGTCAGTGCAGCACAAATAATGACTTTTCTGGGTCAAAAAGCTCATCTAGTTCAGTCACCTGCCCTTGGCAATAGCTTAGTCAGGCAACTATAAAGAATGTAAGAACAGAGCAAGTATAAATGAGAACACAGCAATACCCCCCAGATTCAAGACTGTTGCCTCTGCCCACTAAAGTAACTAGACTGATGGCAGTGACTAAGACCTTTGAGGATTTGAAAACAAATGTACATATACCACCTAACTAATAAGACAGGCACACAGGCAGACTATATACATATATGACAAAATAAATTATGATATTCTGTGGATATGTATGAATGCATGTGCATTTGTGTTCTAATTAGCTTAGGAATTTTCAGTCATGGAGGTACCAATATTTCTTTAAGAACAACTATTCCAGATTTAGCCCTGACAGGGAGCATCCACATAGAGGCAAATGATTTGTTTGAGAAATGTAGCGGTTACCTGAGTATTCCCCTCTTTTCTTCCTTAGGAGAAGCGTATGTCAAAGGCAACAGAAGTAATGATGCAGTATGTGGAAAATCTGAAAAGAACATATGAAAAGGATCATGCTGAGCTAATGGAGTTCAAGAAACTTGCCAATCAGAATTCTAGCAGAAGCTATGGTGCACCTGGTAAAAAAAAAAAAATTTAAGGGTTTATCTTGCCTCTATACAGAGAGGTGTTGGTGCTGTTAATGATAAATGTGAAGTATCATGAAACCTGTTCATGAAGCTCTGATCTACAGGAGTAGATTTCAAAAAGTTACAGATATAACAGTTAAAATATTTCATATAAGGCATATTTAATGCTATCGTACAGTAATTTAAAATCACTATCACTTACCAAATTCTGATGAGATCCAATGACATTTTTATTGGCCTCTTGCACATATGTGTAGCTTTTACAGTTTTAATGCAACTACCTCTTAGATGACAGATGATGGCAAAATTTCATTATTAAAAAGATTTTTTCTTTTTGCAACCTTTTCTTTCCTAGTTTGCTGGAAACTGAAATATGAGTATTTTCTTTGTATATGGAGGTAAATAGTGGGCTTTTGCCTGATCTCTGTAGAGATACTAATGGTTCAATTTTTTGCACTTATTTCAAATCTCTTTTGCAGGTGTAATTGAGACCAGGACTGTATGACAGATAAATATGCAGTAACTACAGACTTTGTTTGAAATACAAGCAAGGGCTCTATTAGTATTATTTATAGATATTCATATAGTCTAAGACTGTTCTTTATCTACTGTTTTTATGCAGAAGATGGAGTACCTCGTTCATCTAGATCCATGTCTCTTACTGTTGGAAAGGTATTTCTACAATATAAAGAAAACGAAGGGAACATTTTATGTCGTGAAATTTCTTTGTCTATATATGCTCACTTCTATAGGCTGTGTTCAAAACATAGTGCTGGTAAATTCTCAGTGTTGTTCAGGTAATTTAGTGCAAGTGCTTTGTAATTTTGAATACATGATTAAGTATGTCTTTGTGCAATAATGATAATGCTTGCTGTGAATAAAGGGACCTATTTATTTAAGAATAATTGTATTCCAGGACACATACCTGTGCTCCAGAGAATGGTTTAGGTCCTGTGCTTTATTCTAGTTCCTCAGTGAGGAAGCTGAACATTGGATCAAAACTTACTATACGAGTCAGGATTCCATGATCATACCATTTTCATTATCTTAAGAATTATATCATGTTCAGAGTACCTTAGATGTAAACAGTTATTTTTATGTGGGGCTTATTTTTCAGTTAGCATCCAAGTATCTTGTTTGGTTTGACAAAGCATTCAGAGTGAGAGATTATCTCAGATTGTTTTGGCTTGACCAATTAATAACTTTAACATGGCCAGTGTTCCATTTCTGCAAAAATCCAAGTGGTTGTTTTATTTGCCTGGGTTGTAGTCCTTTAGGTTTAGTTTATTCCTGCCACCTCTGAGTGCTGGGTAGAAAGAATTAGAGCACAGAGCATGCTGAGGGCAAGACTGGGTTTCAGAATGACATCCAGATAAGTTGAAAAAGAAGTCCCCCAAAAAGATGAAATTCAACAAGGACAAGTAAAAATATTAAATATTTGTAAATATTAAAAATTTTCCCCGGAATAATAACGGGGGGGGGACGACCCGCAAACACTAGAATGAACTGCATAACATGGCTGCAGACCCCCCAATATAGTTTTTCAGAGGCTCATTAGGTAAACATCTGTCATTAATGAATAGGTATAGTTGGTTTCGTCTAGAACCAGAATCATGGAGTAGGTGACTCCTCTATATTTATTAAATCTGTGTTTAACTACTTTCCTGTAAAGTTATCTAGAGCAGAATCTTAGTAGTGTTTGGATATGCACTAAGATGAAGCTGTTAGATGCTATAAGTGCTTGGATTTTTTACTCAGCTGGAAGCATAGATTTTACTAGGCTGTCTATCACAGGATGAAGCATTTGGTTACCTAATGACAGCAAAAACTTACATGATCTGTACTTGAGCTAGAATGTATTGTGTACAGCTAGCATGTGTTTATCATATAAAGAATTTCCATGGTCTTTGGGAAATGTAAGCAATGTTGCATGATGCTAGATAGATATCTAACAACTCAAGGGTGGGGAAGAAGGCACTGCTCTTTAGTGGAGGGAACGGATGTTATTGTTTCTGAAAGTTATAATTTGTAGGTTTAGAAATAATTATATATCTTAGTGGGTACGGTATATCATAATGGGTACAAAGCAAGAGAAGAGTTTCATGTGTAACTTCATTATTTTCAGGTCATTGTGACACTGGCACTTTTCCCAGTATCATTATACACCTGGTTTAACCAAAGATAATAGCCTCTAATAAGAACTGACAATATCAACTCAGAACATACCTGTTGTGTGACTTACACTATTGGGCTTTCAGTGTGGAGGGAAAAGAATAGCATCCCTGTACAACACCTCATTTCACACTAAGCACTTGCCATACCAGACAGTACTAGAGGAAGTTTTGGGGAAAACCACAACCCTAACAGCCATTTATCTTAATTTTGCTCCCAACTCTCCTTTCCCCCAAGGGACATTAACCTACATCTTTGCCACACCCATTAACTTGCAGAATTGTTCTTCAGTCTATCTTCTTGTATGACAGGAAAAAAAAATGTTGTTTCTCACAGAATATGCCTCGGAGGAGAGTCAGTGTTGCTGTTGTTCCTAAATTTAACTCCTTAAGCATTCCTGGTCAGTCACCAACAGCTTCACCCATACCTTCAATGCCATCCCTGGTAAGTAAAACCCACATTTTAAATACACTACTTTTTGTCTAAACCACTTTTGCATGGGGCCAAGCCATAGTTACTAAAAAAATGTAAGCCCTTTCATTGGTTTAACTTGTTTTGACTTCATCCTAGAGAAGGGGATGGACAAAGGTTATTTCTGTTGTGTAAGGGAAATATGCTTTCAGAATCTACCGACATAAATGATCACTTTGGACACAGAGCTGAATAGGGCTAGCTGGTGATTCAGAGGCATTGGACATTAGCTGAGGCAATTTGCCTTTTAATCTGTAGTAACATACTGGGAAGTTTCAAGTAGCAAAAATAGTTTTCCACTATAGGAGAGAAATTTTAACTAGAAACCATAGAAGATGATTGGACTGCTTCTCTTCATTGCCAAAAAGTCCACTAAACAGAATAAGATATAGAAAAGTATGTGGTACAAATTTAGAGGTTCTGTGATGATCTGGTATTAGTGGAGCTATCAGCCTCTTGACTTTTTGTTTATAAAAATTTTAATAAATTAAATTAGGATCTAATCTGAACCTAATAAATCTATACAAATGCTTTGGAGAAAAACTGCAAGGTATACCAACTGTTCAGAGATGAGCTATGATGGCACACAACCTGAAAATTATGCAGTTTTCTGTTAAAAACATAGGGCTATTTAAATGAGGGAGTTTGCTGAGAAGCTAAATCCATTTTAGTTTTAAGAAAACAATCTGTTTGTGCAATTTAGTTATTATGTACTCAGAGTCAGTTGTTTCAGGAACCAAGTGTGGTTTTTTTACCATGATTTATTATGATTTATTTTTGTTTAAAATTTTCCAACGAAAACTCAGCTAAGAAACTTATATTCCTAGGATAATATGGACAGAAGCAATAGAGTAATTTTACAGTTCAGTGATCAATATATGAAGAAGAAAGTCTTCTTCAAAATAAGGAGGGTAGAAGGGAATGTCACAGAAAATGTGCGAGTCTGTAGTTTACTGTGGTTAGTGGGAGTAATTTGGAAGCTCCATGTTACAGATACCTTGCTTATGGGTGTGGGAAGAAAACCTAAGCAGCACATTGACTTTGTCATTTTACTGAAGACTCATTTGAAATTAATTCATGGATGTAACATATATTGCTGTTTTTCACTTACAGTCTGAGTCACCTAGTAATGGAAGAAGCAATCTAACATCTACTCCTGTTCTGCCAGCACTTTTAGAAAAGTAAGTTTTCTCTAGGTCATCTCGTTACCTATTAAATCCTAGTATGAAATGAAAATGATATAATTTCTATCTTTCCTAACAGAAGTTATATCAAGGCATAAGGTATTGAAATCAGTGACACAATATTGACTTAGGCTGATTCATGATCTGGTAACTGTATTTTATTATGTCACCATCATATTGTTCTTTTCGTGTTCAAAGAGTTTACACGCAGTATCTCAGAACTAAATCGAGCCTGCTACGATCATTGGAACTCATCAAGTAAAAAATGCAGCAGATTATGCATTTACGCATGTGAGTAGGCCTGCCTTCAGAACTTGACAAAACTAAGAGTATTACATGCAATGCACATGGCTTTTATCTATTTATTTATTTAATATATTTCCTGCAACAAATTAATGCTGTATCTAAAGTTGGCTATGAGCATCCCTGGTTATGAATATTCCTTAACTTGACTATCCCAGTAATAGAAGTTTGTGTTTTGCCCTTACCTTTTCAACATGTTGCCAGCTGGTAAGAGTCATATTTTGAAATACTATGATATCTAGTGTCATATAGCTTTTTAAATTGATATGAATAAACATAAGTATACCAAATTTCAAAGTATAATTTATCATAATATTAGATCATCAGAATTTTGCAGAAGTCAAAACAACTATTAAATTGAGTAGTAATTCCTTTTTTAGTATAAAATGAATTGAACATTCAGCTAAATTAAAGCATTAGGTTTGAGATTTTAGTTTTAACAACCTGCGATTTTAGTTTTAACAGCCAGAGAAGGCTGCATTTTAAAATTAAAAAATAGATACATGAAAGAGGTATTTTTTAGCCTAGCAACAAGCAAATACCTCAATATCTATATTTTTCTAGTACCTATAAATTGCAAAAATATTATTTATTAAAACATTTGCCCTTTTGACTCTATATTACTTACCATTAGTGTAGATGTCCTGGCTGGATTAAGGTGTGCTGTTGTTAGGCATTTTCCATAATAGTTTCATGAGTCATTCCATGGGTTTAAATAGTACCACTTTTGGAGCAAAATAATAGTTATATGAACAAGGAAAGCTAAGAATTGCTCTGCTGGAAAGCATGTACATCTGCACATTTCTGGAAAGAACTTTTAAGTTGTTTCAGTTGAAATTCATGTAGACATGTAATTTAATTTTATACAAGTTATTCAAATGTAAAGCCCCTATATTAATAGAATACAAAGGTGGGCAATATGAAAACATGTGAGACTGGGATGAGAAGTGAAGGCATACTCAAGCTGTTCTACAAGGTCTTCGTAAACAGTTACCATTATGGATAGAGGCACTGGTGCATTTGCAAACCCATGTGTGTATATACTTTATTCGTATGTATAATCAGCCCAGAAAGCAAAAATAAAAAATTGTCAGGCACTTTTCCAAATACTTACCTCTTTCAGGAAATGTTGCACATTCTAAGGGAGTTGGTTGCTGATGTTTCAACAGTAAAACTTACTAAAACATCATGTTGATTTTTGTTGTTATTGTTACTACTACTACTACTACTACTACTTCAGTAGTTTAGACTATTTACAATATCACAATAAAATATCTGCAATACTAATTTAAATTGAAGTTTTTTAGGATGTTTTAAACGTGCAAATTAAAAGCTTTAAAATATGTAGATCTCACATCAGTACAGAATATTGAATTTCATGTGCTTTAGATTAGTGCTGAGGCAGGACAAAATTTATCTTATGTCTTTGTTTTTTCTCTGTGCTTTACTAAGAATGAAAATATGCAACAATTGGGAAAACAAAAATGGTGAACTATGGCACTAGTTGTTACAATTCAACAGAACTCTGCAGGATTTAGACCGTCTTTTGAAACTGTACAGAAACTCTAAAAAAACCCCACCCAACCAAAAAAACCCTTATCAGTATTTCTTATTGGATCTTAAGAAAACAAATCATGTTATCAAGTAACAGAAGTAGAACTCGAAATTCAAGTTTGAGCATAAGTATGTATGCATGGGCCAGCTGCTATAGTAGTGTAAAATTATATAGTTCAGCAGTTTTATATAGCACTTGAAGCTTATACTCATGATTTGTTTAAAGTCCAAGTGAAAATAATGTCTACTGTTAATACAACTTCTTGAGAGAAAATCCATTGCCCACAGATGGGGTCAATAAGGACAAATTATTCTGCCATTGATTTTAGTGCCAGAAAAATAAGGCCTACAAAAAGTGTTAGATTCTAGAAGTTGAAATGGGATCCACTGTTGAGCTTATTAAACCTTGACTTTGATAGATTTGCTGAGTCATGTGTGAATCGCTTAAACTCTTTGTCTCAGACTTAAATAAATAAGGGCAGGTGAACACTGCAGAAAGAGAGCAATATACAATGGCTTATTTTTAGGCTAAATGCTGGAAGCTTTTACTTTAGAAAAGTTTTAGTGACAAAAGCTATGTATGAGTTTGTATTTTTTTAACCTCTGCATCAGTTCAGTGTATAAAGTCAGCAGAAGGGAGTACCTAAAAGGCAAAGAAAAAAAAAAAATTGTTAAATTAGTATTTGGTATTATTTCTATTATTTTCCTCTGATGTAGCAGGCTACAATTTCTAAGATGATTTTTAGAAAGTTGAGGGAAGTGTTTTCAAGAATAGCAAATAAATGCCATGGATAAGCCAGGAAACAAATGCTCTTTTCTTTTTTAAAGAAGAAACAAAATGCAAGTTTTAATACCTTAGAAACATATTAATTACTGCTCCTAAATGACAACATTTGGAAACTAAAATTTTGCTTAGTGTTTAATTTTTTTGTTTAGAAAGACATTTCATTTCTCCGATGTACATTGCAGAAGAAAAATCAGGAGTCACAAAATTGCGTGTTATTGTTCTTGTTCGGTAGTATACTCCAAATACAATACATTTCAGTGGTGTTATTTTCTATTTGTCTGTTTCTTTTGCCTTGGCAGTGGAAAGACTAATGGAGAGCCTGAGTGTGAAACCTCTACTTCTGTGCTGACACAGAGTGGGTTGGAAGAGATCAATCCTGAAACTAAAGCCAAGATAGAAGAGGAAGCATATAACAAAGGGTGGGAATATTTTATGTGAACTAAATCTGTAAATGTGCTACCAGATGAGGACATATGTTTTTTATAATGTCATTTAAAATGCAAAATGAGTGACATCATCCATATGAGCTCCTAGAAGATGGTCATAACTGAAGCAATGTGGGAAACAATGCGAGTGAGCTTCACTCATTGTATTTGCATCATAGCTTTCATCCTTTATTGATGTTAGCCAAACTGTGGGACAGCAGTTAGAGATTCTGAATTGGGTGGGTGTTTTTATGTCAATAGTGTTCAGCTTCATGATAAAATAATCCAAAACAACTTTCTAAAATGTTTATTCTGAAAAGCATACATGGAAATGAGTAAAAAACTCTTACAGTAAACTTGTGTTGTTTGTGTCACAAAGTGCTTTACACGGCATGTTTTGGGGTGATTAACAGCTTGGGGATCTGTTTTTGAATGTCAAGCGAAGAACTTTGTACTATGTGAAGAGTGAGACAAAAATTTTGATCTTCTGTGGAATCCAACAAGCCATCTATCTTCAGCACTGATTTGCATTTTTTCTCTAGCAAAAAAAAAAAATATCTAGGGGGTGTTCAAAATTATTGAAAAAATAATAGAGAAATACTTACCAACTCCTTTACAACAGACAAAAGTTGTGCTCTGCTGAGGACTATTATCTCTTTTTCAAGATAAGTTTGGTAACAGAGCTAGTATAATCCTCTGTTAAGGAAGGGTGGCTGTCTGTGTGCCATACTCATGGTCTTTAGCTAATTTTTACTCTCCTCCAAGTGCTGCAACGCTGCTACTTGTGTATTATTGCGTGTAACAAAACATAAAGCTAATTTTTCATCACATAAGAACAGGCTTATACAGCGTGCTAGATTAAGAAAAATGTTTTGTGTGTTAAAGCTATCAGGAAGGCTTGAAGAAAACCAAAGAACTTCAGGAACTGAAGGAAGAAGATGAAGACACACCAAAAGAAAGTCATGATGAACATGAAGAAAGTGAAAATGAAGATGAGATAAAAAACCTGAAAAGCAGGTGAGGCAGTGGTGTAATATGTCCATACAAGAGGAGCCACTTTTTTCTATTTGTGGTACCCAACCAAGTATTTTATACTATTATCTTCCAAGTGTTTTATTCTACTACCTTGACATGTTTTCTTCCAGTCTAGGGAAGCATATTTGAAATAACAGTATTTTCACAGAAAGGCATATGCCAAGATAACATAGTTGCAAAATGCAAAACTTTTTATTTTGATATTTCAACTAAAATTGTATGTTGACATCAAGATGCTTCATCTTGATGGGGTTTGGTTTTGATTTGAGGTAAAAAATATTCCGCAGAAGTTCTTAGATGCCAGAATGTATCTCTCAGTAGGCATGCATTGTCTCATGAAACTTGTAATTCAGGAATCTGATGCCCGTATTTGTGCCATATGTCATTCCCAAAGGGTCTTCACAGGTGAGTCTTTCAGTACATCTACAAGGTGAATGCAGATTAAGATAAGCTCCTCAGTTATGTTGGACTTGCTCTGACTTGGACAGGCAGGTGCTTGCCCCCTCTGAAAGCTCTGTAGGTGCAGCAGAACAGCACTGTGCTGGAGTTCCTGCCTTTCAGCAGAGTGACATGTTTATTGTGTTCATCTCTACCCAATGCTTTTTGTCTATACTGGGGACTTTTGAATCATCTGCTTATTATCTTACCTGAAGCATTTGATGCCTAACTGGAAAACTTTTCTGAAATTGTCAACTTTTCTTAGAGCTAATTATTGAGTCTCCTTGGTGGTTCTACCACTCAATTCAATATATCTGCAATTTCCTGCATTAGAGAGGAATTGAATGCTTGCCAAAGCAAGTAATGTGTCCAATTCCAAGCTAAGGTAGGGATCCTTACCTGGTCCAGAAGAATTAATTTCCATTCCATAACCATTATGGTTATAAACGTCTGCTAATCTGAGATTTCAGCCATGTTCAGAAGGGCAGCTATCTCACTAGGCGTGAAACTCTTAGGAAGAAATGTTTACAACATGTTCTAATGTTTAGTTTAGTTGAGCAAGCTATGAACAGTGCAGAATTTTACATCACATCAAGCTCTGAGATTTGCCAGTTGACAGGTGGGAGAAGTAGAAGTCAAGTTTACAGTCTTCAGCCATCTTGCAAATATCACACATATCTGAGCATACAGCTCTTCTTTTAAGAACAGTCTGATTCTTCTTTGACAAGGTGTTTGTATTTGGAAGAAAGTTGGTGCACTGTACATCTATGAAACTTCTCAAATTGAAAAGCTTAAGATAATAAATTTGCATATGATTAATATATAACAGTTTTCTTTTAATTTTACAGCAGACTTGAAGTCATCATTAATTATTTACATATACTGTACCCCAAACTGTGTAAACACTGGAATGTGGTATGGCTTGTAGTGGCTGCGATAATCATTTTTGCTGTGGTGTTGGGAATATACCATTCATACAACTCCTGTGATGAAAAATCAGAGGGACCTGAAGGGAAGGCCAGCTGTTCTGCTGCCCATCAGTATTCCTGGTGGAACTCAGGATTTCAACATGAGCAACGCACTGAATAATAAAGGAACAATCATGTATTTATGGTACCTGAGCAAGTATGCGTATTAGAACACTGTTTTTAAAGGTAGTGCTTAGTCATCCTTATGGCTGTTAAATGTGATCTGTTAGACAAGTGATTTACTCCACACCATGAGGTTTGGGGATACATTGTGAACGTACCTTGCCAAAATGACAATCTGATAAATAATCTTGTCTGTCCTCTTATTGTAAATGACTGATAGAAATAAAGTAATATTGAATCATAAGGTTGTGACAGTAATGAGCAACCAGCATGACATTTAAAAGAATGATTTGCACAGGACATTGACATCTCTGCTATAATTTTGAAGAAAATCATAAAACCTGCATTTGCAGTTAGTGCTTTATTTTGCATTTCCTGAATTTATTGGTGATTGTTGAAGTACTAATGCCATTTAAGTCCTTTGGGTTTTAAGAGTCTAATTCATTTCCTTATTCATGATTATTGTGTAGAAACAGAAGCTCTTCTATGGAATGTTAGAATTATCTTATCAGACCAAATGCCATGCTGATAACTCCTCTTATAAAATTACTTTATCTGTATGATTCTTTAAATGGAATACTAAGTACATGCATAAATGTATTTTATTATATACTTTAAGAATGGGACCACCACTTTTTTTTTAAATGGGATACACACCAAAACCTAAAATGAGCTTTAGGTGGCACAGTTGGTATCATCAAATAAATCTCGGAACTTACGATATAACAAAGGGACATGCTTTGCAACAAATTTGTGTATGCCACTCAGAGTCAATACTGGTTACAGCAAAAAGTAGTTGCTGTCTGGAAGATGAGATGTGTTGCCCAGGCCCAAAATACAGCAGTCTTGGACATGGGAAGCAATCTTCCAATACTTTATTAAAAAAAAGAAAAAAAGAAAAAAAGAAAAAAAACCTCTTCAAACCTCTGTATACTAGTGATCACACTAAGTGGACTCTGCCCTACTGCTAATACTGGAAATAGACATCCTTTGAGATCTGCATTAGGAACACAGTTCTGCATACAGCCAAAACCCTAGCAGTGCCTAGATGAATCAGGACATGAAAGCAATGAGGACTTTAAAGCGGTCACTGCATGTTTTTCGTAGTTCATTTTCAGAATCTGATGCCAAGTATATAAGTGTTCTGATATGCTTTCAAATATAAACTATGAGGTCATGATAAATTAATCTTTTGCCCAGATTTTTCTACAGTTCTGCCTATTTGGGAGTTGTGAGTTCTTACACAAGAATGTGAAAGCCTGAAATTTTTAGACAAGCAACTTCAAAATGGTGAAGCCATTACCTGTAAAAAACCACACCACCTAGGGCTGAGACCAAAACACGTCACTTAAGGTATACCATGTGTACCTGCTGAACATCACTTCTGATTGAAGATGAACTATGTCTTTCCGTAGCTATATGCTTCAGTCTAATCACAATATCAAAATCAGTGTGACTGCATTCTTCTGGTATTTTCTGACTGATGAGCAAGTCTGTTTACCAACTGAAGGATAAGTATGTTATGAAGGACTGTAATTTCAGTTCAGATGCAGTTAGAATTGTCGTTTTCTTTTGGTGTAAACACTGAACCTCAAGCTAACTATCAAAGAAAACAGGTTTCTAACTCAGTCAGAAATTTAATTCACATATCTGGCACCAGTAACATATATCCTGCTGGTGAATTTTGTTTGTTACATCTTTAGCCACATGTTTCTTAAGAGACATTTATATGGAGAAAGAAAAGAAAAATTTAAAAAAATAGATTTTAAAAAAAAAAAAAAAAAGCAGACCACTACCACTTTTTTGGGGGTGGGAGAAGCGGGGGGGAAGTCTATAAGCAGTTGGGAGGTTTGTTTTTTATTTTAAAGTATATATTGTTGAGGAATATTTAATAAGTGTGCTTAAGGAAGTTCAAAAAGGATAATGGGAAAGTGTCATTTGGTCTAAAATTGTAATTGGTAAAGAATAAGACAGAAGGAAGTTTCTTGCAAATTACTTGGTATCTGTTTGGTTCAGTTAGAATATCTGACTATGAAGAACTACTGTGACATTTCACATACTTTCAGTATTTGAAGAACCTTGTCAGTTGCTCTTTGAATACTTTATTAAAATCAGCTACTTTAACTTAATATTCTTTACAAATAACGTTGATAACTTAATAAGGCAATAAAAATTGAAGGTGAATAGTCCTGAAGATTCAGAATCCTCTATGCCAAAAATTATGGCACATCTTTGATTATGTGATTATGGAAATGTTGGGTTGCACTGAGGAAAAATAAACAACAGTGACTATAATCGAATTAATTAGCTCTTATTTACATCTGTATTGATGTGGGTCCAACACCTTCTTTTAAATACATGTAGAAAGTTATCGATATCAGTAGGACTCTTGAACTGCTTAATGTTAAGCATGTGCTAAATTTTTTTTGCTCAGTGGCTGAACGAAGTCTCCATCGTCTCTTGAAATTCAGCACACTGGCTTTTTGTGGACTTGGTGCACAAGGGCAAATTTCCATAAGTAGATATACTGATTTGAACTGAACTGCTTGCATGTCTAAGGCAAGTATAATTCAGCTACAAAATTACTAATCGTTGCAGGGAATGGACTGAAAGAGGCAAGAGATTTTAATGGGGATGAAAAGATGAATATAAAATTAATTTCTTAAAAAATTGTTGTTCTTTTTATAACTACTTTGAGCAAACTGTCCACTAAAAATAATGAACCACAATGACTAACAGCACATTAAATATTTTTGCTTATATTTTTCAGTTAGTTAATGAAGACACCTTTTTTAATAGGAAACTAGATTGAGCTCAAAAACTATTCTAAATGTAATTTTATCTGTTGGATATCAGTTTTCTTTATCCAGAAAAAAACCCCAACCTCTTCTGTGTTCAAAGATCACATCAGATAACAAGAAATAGATCTATTATTTATGCTATTAACACAAATAGTTTTGTTGAGGTGCAATATTTATTTTTCTGCTTTAACAAGACACATTTATTGTTTTTCCTGCACAGCACAGATGTTTCTAGTAAAAGAATTTTAAAAGGGCACTATTTTTGTGTATCATATTTAAATTTGTAATATTGTAAGATTTTGCACAAGTGTGCTGGTATTGTACTGTATAGTATCACATACTTGAGTTTTGAAATAAAAGTATGGTTTCAAAGTCCTCAGTGTTGCTACCTTAATGGTTTGTTTTTTACATGTACTCTGCATATTAATGGCTATGTTCGTATGAAATACATACTACCTTGTATATACTGCATAATGTAGTGCCATGTTACACATACCAAAGATCTTGTTCTTAGTCTTTCAGTTCTTCAGGAAAATGATGTAGAAGAAGCAAGCAAACTCCTGTTTCAATAAAGAAAGTGTTTGTAAACAGGGTCATCCCTGTCATACCCTAGAAACAAGATGAGAGAGGAAACTGAAATATCCTGGAGAGAGTTTTAACTCCTGCATCAGAGGGAGGCTGCATGTCACTGAGGAGGTTGAACCCAGAAAGCCACAAGGGAAATCTGTAACCTAAGGAGATTGAGTGAAAGGTTAGGATTCTTTATTTCCTTTGTGCTCTTGTAGGCTTGGGAGATCTGGGAAGCCTGGGCTTTGTGGAGAGCTGAACTGCCACACCAGCAGGAAGGAGACAACGCTCAACTTTCACAAAGAATAGAGATGTTACTTCTGAATCTCTGATGGTCTGTGTCAGGGAGAAAAACGTTGGGACAGCAACAACCTTGAAAGGAATTACTGTTACCAGGAAAAGACCCTGACATTTTTATTTTCCACATAAACTTTTTTTTTTTTTTTAAACTTTTGTCCTCTCCTGTTGTTCAGGCTTCAAGGTTCCTTTAGAAATTATTGTAGAGAACAGTTAAGTAAGTCTGTTCTCCCATATCAAAAGTTTTCTGTTTAGCAATCCTCATCAGCATTTTAAAACATGCTGGCATGAAATTCTGGGAATTTTCCTTATAGGTTACTATAAGTAGGTCAAATGCTAATTAAACATTCAGTATAAGGCTGGTTTTTTTTATCACCACACAAGTTGTGATGAAGACTCACACACAGGTTAAAGACTTTTTGTACTGTTACAGTCCAGGTAAGTGATCTTCCACACTGTCTTGGAACAGCTGAAATATAAAAACGAAGAAACTGACCAAAAAAAAAAAAAAAAGATATTTCAGTCTCACTTCATCATTCCAAAATTCTTTTCTCCCTCTCCTAATCTGTAGTTTGCTCTTACAAAACCACGTGAAGGAGCTTATATTTTTGTTTGGTGTTACAAAGGTGTTTATCTCATTTTTCCAGCTAAAAATCCTACTAAACATCAATAGCATGGACAGAGTTTGACTAAAGAAACTTTGCCACAGTGAGGATAATAGGCACAAAGTGTTAAAACTTGGAAGGACAATTAGCATGCAATTTTAAAATGTCAGAAACTCAGCTTTTGACTAGTTTTCATGGTAGGAAATACTTAGCAGTTCAAGGTAAGCATGGAGATGGTAAGATTTTATTTCATGTTCTCAGTGGTTTACAGCCACAGACTACTAGTCTGTGAGAGCTATAGAATAACTATTAGTTTCTGCTCCTGCATTGTAAATGCAAGTGAATCCACTTAGAACTTGCTTCAGTGAGATTAAGTATGATTACACTATTTCAGGTTGCCATCGTTTTGTAGAGGCAGGTAAGTACAACCCAATAAAGGAGTGAATAGAAATTCGAGCAAGAAATTTGTCTTAAGATCTCAAGGAGCTTTACCAATATTCTGTTCCAAAACACAGCCCAAACACAACCCAATTTTCATTTCTTTATTGCTATTGGAGACATCATTTCATTAACCCACAGCATTCTCCAGTCAGCCTGTAGATGCCTGTCTATGTTATAGTATACCCATAACCATGCTGTATGCTGCTTCAAGAGATTGGGCCTGTGCCCAGATAAAAGTTAATACTATCTTAATATATTAAGTGGGAACTTTCTACAATGCAAACCGCAGTTTAAAGAGGTAGCTACTGTTAGGCTTGTGTTTACAGGACCTTGAAAACAGCGTGGGGATATAGGACATCTAAAAGTTTACTGAATCACAAACAACACGATGTAACAAAATCATTCTGTTGCAAAAAAAGGCTCATATCATTCTGAACTGTATAAGCAGGTAAAGTAATTTATTAATCAGTACTTGGCATTGGCAAGGCCTCAGCTAGAGAGAAAGAGTGAGCAAGCTGGGGTTTCTTAGCTGAAAGAAAAGTGGGAGCAGAGGCATAACTCTTTAAATACATAAGATTGTTGCAAAACATAAGGGAATAAACTATTTTTCATGTTCATTTCCAACAGGAAAAAAAGTGATAGGTTTACACCACAGTGTGGATAAGTCAGTTTAGACTAGGGAATACCTTTTAACAGTAAAGGACAGTGAAGCACTGGAATAGAGCATTTGAGGAAATGTTAGGAATTTGTCACTGGAAGTCTTTAAGAACAGGTTAGACAAACATCTGTCAGGAATAACATAAATACAGCTGATCCTACTGACAGTAAAGGTCACTAGCTGATCTCTTGAACTCCATTCCTGCTCTGTGTTGGAATCTCTGCAAAAAAATTGTTTCTTTGCTAAGGCTTCCTGAAGGTTTTTAAAGTTATAGCCGTGAGGATCATCAGTGTTTTGAATCAATCTATTAGAGTTAATGTTTGTTGGAACTTCACAAAAGGCAGCATTGAAGGGACTGGCTTCCCCCTCTGTCCCTACAGTCTCACAAGGAATCCCATTTACAGTAGTGTATCTCCAAATCTGTTCAAAACTAAGTATCATATTATCTCTGTGTTATGGTACCTATTTTTGCATTGGAACTCTAAAGCAAAGGAAAGTAAAATTACTACATGAAGATAAATAGGATAGTGGGGAATGAATGCCCTTCCAATTCCAAAAGAAAAGTCCTGCCTGGCATGCTGTGATACAATAGAGAATTTGTTTTATTTACCAGATGAATAGACAACATGAGTAATGAGCTGTTAATCAGTAAAACAGGAAAAAATAGCAAAAGAAAAACTTATTTCAAAGCGTTTACTGACTTAGCAGTCTAACAGTCTTATCTCCCTTCCTCAGCTGTGTTTTCTGAGTCAGCAGTAGTTAAATTTTCCAGCAAGCCCTACATGAAAGAAAGTGTAAAGGGTGATTAGGGATTTCCAGTCAGTGACCTCACCTTTGAGTGGGACAGTCAACACATTTGCTCTGACATTCTATGAAGCAGTGCGGTGACAGCTGAAGTCGCTTTCAAGAAGTCATCTCAAAGGTGGTCTGACAGTATCCAATACCTTAACTTTTCTTAGCAAAGGAGACAAATCACCTTGAATTTCTTAATTTTCCAAGTTGGTGACAATGGCAACTTATTTTGGGGTTACCTCAGCAGTGTTTTTCGTCTGGATTATGACATTCATGGCTCAAAATTACTTTATAACAGGTATGTAAAATTCCACTTTTTAAAGTCTCCTAGTTGAACAGTGATGTACTTGAAAAAAGTAGCTAGATTTACAAACAAAAATGGGGGCAAGGGAGCATGTGTAAATGTGTTTCTGGCATAGGAAACCACAGGGTTTTGAGAATACAGTGCAATGGAAACTACTCTAGCATATAGGGGAACTTTCACTGTTAGTCTAATTCAATTACAGTCTAAATGCTGTAGCATTATTGTCTAAGTGCTACAGAACTGTTTGTTTTAAAGATCTGGTATTGCATTTAGGATTAAGTTCAGATCTATTGAAATGTGATTTTATTTTCTATTATTTAAAATACCACAGCAAACAGTTTTGTACAATCCTCGGAGAGCAAAACATGCATGAAACCAGTTCTGTGTGTCTGTGATAAAATGCTACCTTTAATGCAGTGTTTTGCTCTGATTTGGCAATATCCTGACACTGTCTTAATTTGCAACATCGAAGGAAATCTGTGGCAGGGATCATCTCCAGGGCAGTCATGCCTGTCTCTGGTTAATACAGTGCAAAAGTTCCTCTTCTGTATAAACTATCTGTGAAAAAAATTAACATAGGGAATTGCCAACATCAACTTTATCACACAGTTCTTAGATAACCCTCCTCCCTCAAATGTTACTATATGAAACTATTTTTTCAGTCAGGGTCATATAATAGCCCTTTCTTCTATATGTTAGTGAATTTTGAATGTCTTCTCCTTCAGGTTCCATAATGAACTTGATGCAATCTATTCTAACTGCAGTAGCTACTAGGATATCTGCAGATACTCAATGTACGTCAGATGTTTCCAGATGTTTCACTGTAATTTGCAAGGAATAAATGCTTGTTCTACCTATGTAAAAGAACATACACCATTGTTGCAGACAACTGATATTCTTATCTACTGAAAGGCTTTTGAAGGAAACCTAGACTGTGAATTAGATGCTCAACTCAAATCCTATTGAAATTCCACAGGATTGGAGTACCTAACAACAGTAGTCTCCTCCAGCAATCCCAACCACTGAATAATTTTCACTGGGGAAATGGAGAGCTTGAGTCTTAAGATTATTCCTTCCAGCTGTTAGGACCCCTCTCACTTCCCCTCCAAGCCTCCCTTGGGGTACCTACTCATGCATCCTCTGCTCATTGGTCCAAGAGCTCCAGTTAAGCTCAGGGCTGATCTCCAGCTGTGTTTTGGAGCTGTGTTGTAGCATGCCCTGTCCCCTCCTGTAGTGACTTACTGACTGGGCTTCACAGACGTACTCTGGACTTAAGTTGTAGGTAGCCTTCTCTCCAGGATGGACTTCAGGCATCTTCTGCTGTTCCCAAATGGACTTTCTGGATGAACTCTGCATCTGACTCATTGTCTTGTTCTCTCTGTGGCTGCCAGTGAAACCTGCCACTGTCACCACTGTGGTCCTGTTTAGGTGCTGTGGGACTGTGCCCCAGTGGGTGAGGGCACTGTCCTGCCTGTGCTGTGGTCACCCGCAGCTCCTGGGTCTTCTTTCCTTGTGCAACAGCCTCATTCTTGCTGCTCCCTGACATCAGCAGCCAAAGGAAACTCTCTCTAATAAATCAGAGTGAAGGCTTGGTGCAAGGCAAAGAGATAGAAACAACAGCTTCCCCCAGAAAGCAATAAGATAACTAATGCCCAATAAAGCCAATACCCATAGCTTACAAAAATCAAACAATTTTCTTCCTGTCCTATGACAACTTTGTCTTGTTGTGAGATTCTTCTGTCTAGGTCTTCCCACCCTTCTCAGTATAACAGTTTTTTCACACAAGACCTAAATACTGAGGAGAATGTCCTATTATTAGTAGGTTAACTAAATAGAGCAAAGCTTAAAGTACAGCTATGTGCAGCTTGAGGACCAAAAAGGATAATATGCTTCTGAAGGATTGGTCTGTCTCCTGTACAAACTCAGTCATCTTTAGAACAGAGTTCAGAGGTGATTTAAGAACTGATGAAAAAGACTTGAAGAGGCTACTGTTCTTTTTCTGGATTTCTTCCTTATACTGTAAAAATGTCTGGAACTTAGATTGAAGCTGATAACTTTTCCAAAACATTTCTTTTACTTCACCATTTTGTTTTAAAAGGCTTAGTGAATTCTAAGGTACAACTTTGGTCGATGTCCTACAGTCACTTTTCTTATCACTTAAGACTTAATTTTCTGGTACTGAATTTTTATATTATGCTATGTATCTATAATGCATTTCTCATGTAAAAATACTTGTCCTGTAATTGAATGACTAAAGACTGTCATAGTTTACAACTATCTCGGCAACTTTCTAAGATTTCAGGAAATTCCATTCAGTCAGCTGCTCAACTTTATTTGAAATTTGTAAAGTTGGTCACTGAGAAACTTCCATTCTCCACATTATATTTTTTAAAAGTTGTATTAGCTCATATCTAAAGATAGGAAAATAATTGACCAAGTAAGCAATAAGAGTGAAGTCTCAGCATAAAAAGTAGTAAGGGGAGAAAGGAATTAGGCATAAACCCTAGAGGAGGAGTGGGGTCTTGAAAACAAAGAAAGAGGAATTGTGGGATGTGCCTCAGCAGCTGAGACAGGGAGTTATTCAGGAAACCAGAAATTATTCTCAAGAGGACCGAGAGAGTTGCCTGCTAGCAAAAGGGAATCAAGAAAACTTAACACCAGAACAAGTAGAGTAGAGTAGAGTAGTTGGAAGGCACCTACAATATCATCTAGTCCAACTGCCTGACCAGTTCAGGTCTGACCAAGTTAAAGCATGTTGTCAAGGGCATTGTCCAAATGCCTCTTAAACACTGACAGGCCTGGGGCATCGACCACCTCTCTAGGAAGCCTGTTCCAGCATTTGACCTCTCTGACACAGAAGTGCTTTGGCCAAAATGAAGGCATACAAGAGGACATTCATGAAGACAGGCTGGCTGAAAGGAAGAAATTTGACAGTGTGAATCATCTTCACACTGGGACTACTTGGATAGACTTGAGATCCTTGATACCTACACACACATCTTCACTGAGTAACAGGGGTTCTCTGCATCCTCATGCAATATGCAATATGTTTGGGCTTGTCTTATGTTCAAGTCAGAGCTGGATGCAGCCACGATTTGGCTATGGAGACTGCTCAAGTGTTCAGTGGCTCACCTGCCATGTGACTGGGTCTACACAGTACCAAAAAGTGTTAATGGGAGGCCACAGCCTCCATCGCTGCTGAGATAAACCCACCTAATTCAATGATTGCTGTACCAAACATTAAAGTCAATTAAACTAAATGTAAGGACAGCAGAGATACATCTTTTACCAGAAGCCATTTCCAACCCCACCACACACAGTGGGAGAGAAAAGCCTGCCTTTCTTTTAGCACTCCACAAAAGCTTAGTCATCTTTTTATCCCCTTCTCATCATGAGAGTGACTTGGCTGCTAGTTCTATCTTTTCATTCATAAAATTCAGTTTAACCTTTGTTGCTAATAAGCCATGTGGTGGATCTGCAGGCATCACTTCATCCTGCCTTCAGAGTTTGTGGATTGCCTGTATTCTGATGCATAGATTTTATCAAGTATTCATTAGGGTACATACCTGGTGAGCACACAGTCGGAAAAGCATATTGAGTAAGGAAGTAACACCTGTGGCTGTTGGTTATCTGAAATGTTTGCAAGGAAACACTGAAATGTTTCATTTAATATGGCAATTACTGTATGTAACTCAAGAAAGAAAAAATCTTTTTTCCAGTATATGCTTCCAGTGAAATATGGAGGTAAAAGAGCAATATCCTTTCCCCTCATCTGTGTCAAATCCTGAATCCTGTCCTATGTCCTTAACACAGGCTAAGAAAGTAAAGCAGGTGTAATCAGACCTAAGCTATCCATTTCCTGGTGCAGATGTCATGAATAGTGTGCCAGCTGTGGCTACCGAAAAAAGCTGGATGAACTACCTATGGAGGAGGAATGGGGAAAAGTGTCATAAATTCACATAGCCTATCTCCTCTTTTCCTGCTGCCTGCCAAGCACTCAGTAGATTGAACACTTGACAGTGGCTGGGGGGTGGAAGCATCATGCCAAGCTAGGAAAAAAAATGAGAAGTTTAGGAGGAATAAGGAACATAAGGAATGATAAAGTCTTTATAGGCGTATTTTCTTATTGATATATTAATTCCATGAAAAATTATGTATAATACCTTTGATAGAACTCATATTGGTAAGAGTGGTGTACTGACAGAATCAGTGCCTCAGTGCAACTGTTAGTTTTATCATTTTAATTTAAAGAAAAGGAGAAAAACCCTGTCTGATTACTCTTCCCATTTTGCGTGAATAAGTATGACAAATAAGAGTGTCTTTTCTAAGAAACTGACTCCTGGTAATGACTCAAATGCCAACTGTATATGCATTTATTCTAACAACAGCCAAACCTCTTGAAATTCTGGACTGTTGTGTTAAGAAAATATGTTGTATTTTTAAAGTATATCTTTTTTGCTAGAAATTATTTTTCTACTATCCTCAAGCTAGAAACTTTTAACAATGTTCAATTCAGTTGAATGTGATCTTAAATTCTTCATGAGGAATAAATGTTAATATTCAAATACTAACCTTGAATATTTATGTCTAAATTACAGGTTCCATTCTTTCACCTTGCAGGATCACAGGTGTAGGAATTTATCTTGAGGAGAAAGTTAATTTCTCAGAAGCAAGTAATGCATGTAATCAACTGAATCTACAATTGGCAAGTAAAGACCAAGTTGAAAAGGCTTTGAAACATGGCTTTGAAACATGCAGGTATATGACATCAGTTAGTGTCTCATTACCTGTAGTGAATGCCTTTACACACATCTGAGGCTGGTGATAAATCTAATATTAAAAGTACTAATGCTTTTTATTGTAGCTATGGATGGGTAAAAGATGGATTGGTTGTCATTCCTCGGATAACATCAAACAAAAAATGTGGTAAGGGCAACGTTGGACTAGTGCCATGGTATGCTGAACCCTTTAAAACATTTAAGGTTTACTGCTTCAATTCCTCAGGTATGTAAGCATGACAACTACATTTTTTGTGGTTTGGTTTGGGTTTTATTAATATCTGCATGAAAAAATCACAACAAGTGAGTGAGTTCTTATAATTTGTTGGCCCTTTCCCCCCTAGTCTTACATGTTGTCAAGCTGTACTTAGCTCTGTAGTGTAAAAATCTTCCAAGAAATACAAAAGATCAATTCAGTTAATCTGAATTAATAATTTGGTGCTGCCATGAAAGCTCTTGAAGAAGAGTTGCTTTTACCATTCTGTAATGTCGACATAATGGTCTTAATATGTTTTGATTATTTAGGCACATTAATTTGAAAGAGAGTGAATCGAATCTTTAAGTAGAGCGTCTGTGTGTGGTGTGCGTTTTCTTTTAAAAGACCAAGAGTAGAGTACTTCAGGAAAAGTTGAATGTTTTTTCATGAAAGGAAATGTATCCATTAAACTAAATTAAAATATAAGCTAGAACAGCTGAGAGACCATAAAATTAACTAGATTCCCAATCTACTATCAGTAAAATCAAACAGCTTCCTTTAATGTGCATCATCCTATGTGTGAAAAGACCTGTCCTTCCCCTCATTCTTGACTGTCTGTTTCCAGATTGAAGATACAACAGTGGAACTTGGGCCTTGATATAAGTTAGATCTTCTCAGCACAATAGATCAATATTGTTTCTTAATGACTTCTGTGGTATTAACTAAAAATAAGTATTTAACGAGAGACATTGTGTTCCTGCTAATGTCCTGTATCTATGGTTATTATGTAACAACTATCCTGATAATTAGACCATATACAGGATCAATAAATTATTTCTGATCAGTCCCCAGACCTTGCCAATGAGTTTTAGATAACAAGAGCAAGAAATTATGTACAAAATCCTGAAATTTTTCAGGAAAGATGTGTGAATAAGAGTTGGAAAGATCAGGAGAAAAATGGATATGCAAGATATACCCATTCATAGATACAAAGACCTAAGACCATGTCTGGTGACTGTGCACATTGGAGCTTACGAAGAGACTGATAATCAAGCTGTTAGGGAGAAGGCCGTGCCTTCACTAGCAGGACTTTTTTAATGATCCTGGGCCATTTTAGTGAAGGAGAGTACATAATATAAGCAGTCAGCTTACAAAGTATCCGATAAGAAAGCACTGCAGAGAGAAAGCACCGTTAATAATTGACTTATCACCTAACCTGTAGAGTTAAAAATGACATGATTGGACTAACTTAGTTTTTCTCTACAGCCCATAGCTTTTATTGATGAATGCATAGGTGAATTAGTACTCGGGCAACATGCTTTAAAAGAAGCTGCTCCTATTGGTACCGTTATTTCTTCTGTTCCTATGCAAGATGGTGTTTCAGTGCATGAAATATGTGTCAGAAATGTTGGGTAGGTTGGCTAATGCTAAGGAGGTAGCAAGTAATTCTAAATTACTTGTTTTGTTTAACTTTAACTCAAAAAAATTATACTGTTACCGTATGTGAAGAAAGTTAAGCTTGCTGAATGGTTAGAAAATAACTTAAAGTAATGTATATTTACTATTGGGATGATTCTGCATTTCTTTATCTTAATTGCTAAACTGTTGCCTGTTCTGGCTATTACTTAGCCAAAATATTTGGCAGAAACTCATTCTGTCAATTTTCTTTGTGCCAAAGAAATGCCAAAATCACTTGAAAACGGTAGTGGAAAAAGTAAAAAGCTCCTGCCATTTAGCTTTTTATTCTGTGAATGTAACTGCGTCATCAGACATCCCACAGGGATTCATCTGGAGAACAGCACATTCATCGTTTCCCTGTTATTTATGTTGTAATCTGCTTGTTACTTTAGTGAAATTTTTATAGCTTTATAGAATATAGAACCTCACTAGAAAAGAAGAAAGCTGAGTTCACATTTTCACATGAGCCTGATTCAGAACTCAGCTTTTCCATTTACATATGAAAGTCCACTTGCACCCACATTTTTATATAGACAACATTCACATCATTTAAATTACTTAATTTCTGAGTGTGCCTGAAGTTTGTTTCTTTCTAGCCCCCATTAGAATTGTGTCACTTTTTAATCTCATGCTGGTGCCTGGTTTACCTGAAAGTTTTATGGGCTACTTCTATTTCCAGAAAATCAAAGTAGCGTTCCGAGTAGCAACAGTGCATACATATCTTTTGAATATATACACAATATAATAGAAATATTTTTGAATCTGGGATCTGCAGTTAAGTCTCCTGCTCTGCAGAAGGTCATATTATTGGGTTTTATATGCGTTATTATTCTAAGTACTTTTCAGGAAGAATCTTGTCATTGGTATGCAATTATAAAATGAGTGCCACACCTCCTCAAAAAAGTGTTTCACTGTGTGAGTAATGATAAAAGGTGCGTAATCTGGGTGGTAGACACATGTTTGAAATAGGCATGACTGATTTGGGTAACACTTTTGTGAATAAACAAATAGTAATTTCCAGAGGGAATGACTGAGGAACGATTTCAATAAACGCGTGTATACACTAAGTACAAAACTAACATCCGAAACAACTCTTATGTATTACCTTTCCCTGCTGCAGATGTTCAGATTAATTCATGTAAACCAGATCCAACTACAACCATACTACCTTCATCAAGTGCACCAACGGACTTAACTGCATATTCAGGCTCTGATTTGATTGAGAACATCACAGCAGTGCCCCATGTGACTGAGTCAGAACAATCCCTGAAAAACATAAAATTCCGCGTAATATGTATAACTGAAACTATATTGCCAACAGAGGGGACTACTACAAAAATGCCAGAGGAACACTCACCGATTGACTCTCCTAACTACACTTCCCATGCTGCTTTTAAGAATGATGCCATTGTCTTTGGAGGTAAAGATCATATATGGTAGCTATTTAATTAGAAGAGCTAGTTACATGGATGTTAGCAGTAAAACTGTTTACTGCTATTTTTATTTGCTACTCCAGCATCCATTTGGATATAGCTGAACCCAGAGGCAGAATAGGAGTGTTATAGTTTTGCAAAAGCAAAGCTTGAAGGCCGAGGATCTTTAAATAATTTTTAAGTAAGATCTTATTTTATAACTTTTTGATAATATTTTTATACGAAATAGTGGAAGTTCATTCTGGTTAATGTGATTTTGGGTAAATACATCTCTGAGAAAGTCTTAGCAAACACCATGTCCTCAGAGTAATGGAAAACTCTGCAGGCTCTTAAAAACAAAAGAAGCCAAGAAAGTTTTAAGGAGAATTGTTGTTCTCCAAATATGGAGGTGGTCTCAAGATATGAGGTCTGAATAAGTAATCCTAATATACAGCAACTGAGAAATAGAATAAATATGAGGAAAAGCATTCTAACTGTAAGGACAGTTAATCACAAAAATGTGTTCTCTAGGTAGGTTCTAAAAACCCTCCAATGAGCAGATTAGATAAAACATCTGTCAGGGACTGCCTAAATACGTGTTTTAGTCTCTCTTGAAAAAATGAACAGGAGTAACTAACCTTTTGAGATTTCCTAATACCCCTACTCCTGAGTTGATGTGTATGTACCTCCTACACTAGCCTGTTTTTAGAATAATCTGGATTTATGCTCATGAGCCTTTAGAAAGCCAGGATTAAGTACATATAAAAACTCTATGCTTACCTCCACACTTTTATCTCTAGGCATCCCCACTGCACTTCTTGTTCTGGCAGTCATCTTCTTCATTATTTCAGTTGTTCTAGCAGTCTGCTATATCAAAAAGTAAGTTTTTTCTTTTTTTTTTACTCTTGGACTGAGTCAACTCCTAGAGTACAACCAGTGAATATTTTCAATATATAGCTGAAGAGCAGAGAAATAATGATAATGACATAACACTGTAGCACAAAGAACAAAATCTGAAACCCTGTTGTTATCCAGATAAAGATTGTTGGTGCTGTTGCCATTCCCTTCTTTAGAAAAAGAACCAAGGACAAGTATTGCCTATTTTTGATTAGTCAGTCATGCCTAGCATGAAACATTTCCAAGTGTGCCAAAATAGCAAAAATGAAGTGTGCATCTGTTTGTATATAAGCCTGTTTATGCAGTTTTTTTCTTGTTTCTTTCTATGTCAGACTCAAGGTAAAAGTTTTTATTCTTGGACTATGATTGAGAAAAAAAAAAATTGTTGAGCTCATTTGTCATGCGTAAAGATCTTCAACACAGTGCATCATTAAATCGTATCAAAAAGTTGTGTGCATTTCTCACATCCTAGACCAGATAGCTTTATCATTATGTACCACAAATCCTGAATATACATCGTCTGTTTAAAAAAAAAATAATATATATATTTCTTTAAAAAGCACACTGCTTGAAAAAGTACAATGATCTAGTATGCCACTATTCTCTGTGAGAGTTTTGCCTGAGTATGGCAAAGAAAGTTAACTCTAGAAATTCTTCACTTTATTTCTTGAGTGATACTGCCCAAACTATGTCAGTGTTCCTGCCTTACTAACCTTTTTTCTACTTAAAGGTACAAGCAAACCTTCCCATTTTCAAACAAGAATCAGCAAAAAGAAATGGTTGAAACTACTGCTCTCAAAGAGACTAAGTCAAATGACAAAACACCTGAGAAGGAAACAACGAATAATGGAAAAAAGGTAGAAGAGTCTAAAACCAAGCCTGAGGCAACAGTAAAATGTCTAGAAGCAGAAGTTTAAGGGGAAGAATGTATACTTCTTGATAGAAATGTAAAATGAAGCAAACAAAATTCAGCAATGCTTTTAAACATGGGTGATTGTAAATACTCATGAATGAACATTTTCTCTATCTTAACGTATGAAAACTTGTTTTTTTAATAATTACATCTTTAGCTATAAATGCTCTTGCAGAAGAATATGGTATCTTGTTTACCTGAAATAAATAAGAAATCCATACTACAGCTCATTTTTCATCTTTAATAAAGAAGTAAATAGGAATATGCTATTAACGACATGCAGTGTGTTAACTATTTGCATGGAATTCAGATCAATATATAATGAAAGGGGTTTTTTTATATGGGCAGAGGATGTCTGCTAACTTAACATGTAAAATAAAATGATGATACTGTAGTTCTTCCTCATGTAGATTAGCTTATTTCCATTAAGTAGTTGCATACTGTTTTTAAAAAGTCTGTTTACAAACAGAAGAAATAAGTCTGTTTACAAGTGAGTAAAAAAGGATCAACCCACTGTCATTCAAATACCCAAGGAAGGGTACAAAGATGCTGACGTTTATATATATATATACAGCAATTAATAACTTTCTTAGATATCTTCATCATATCATAATTTACTGTTTTATTTATTAAAACCTGTATTATTCTTCTGCATCAGATATTTGACAGGGAAAAAACCCCTTGAACTGTATCTCAACAGTTATATTTAAGATCTTTTGTGTATATTTAAGTGTGGCTTTCATAATAAAGATCTCAAATGTTATGGGACATTTACAGTACTTCATAAAAAAATAAAGCATGGTAGATATAGCTGTCTGGACAACTTATTCTCATGAAAGCTGTCTCATGGTAAAAAGAGTTCATATAACTTTAATGTTACAGAAGTAATTAGTTGTTCTAAAACAACAACACTGGCAATTTATCAAATATTTTCTTGACTAAGTTGTTTGGATAACTTATTTTTATATGTGAAGGGGTTATTATAGCAAAGGGAGTTTCTTTTTAGATCCAGCAAGTTGAAAAACGTTAAGTCTTAAATAAAATAGCAATAGAACTACTCACCTGTTTTCTACAGTGTAGGATACTGGGTTATGAACTTTCGTATTTTCAATTCACAGAAATTTAAAAATTGCCCAGTGCTTATATATTCCACTCGATAGTGAGTTATAGTGTATTGCTAATAGCATACTTAGCAATTCCCTTTGTTGTTTTTTTGTTTTCTCTTTTTTTTTCTTTTTCCTTTTTCTTTTTTTTTTTTTTTTTGATAGCTCAGAAATATTTCATGCCTCCAAGAGTCTGGACTGTGTTGATATGCAGTCCACCACTGCCATTAAAGCTATACTACTGTACTACTGCAGAAAGACTGTGATTCAGTACAGCTCTAAAAACTACTAATTTCAGATGTCCATCAACAGAATTTCAGCAGAAAAATGTGCAACAGAGGGAACACTAGATACAGCCTTCCCACTCAGATAAGTAATTCCTCTCATTGCAAAACACTGCAGTAATGCCATGTATCTCTCCTGGCAACCCGAATGAAAGCACTCTATGCTGTGTAAGCAGTGAGAGTACACAGCAGAAATAAGGCCATCAGGAAAGGCCACAGCCAACACTTGTCATGATGGTGTCAGAATAGTAAATGGGCTTAAGGACACAGGCAATGTTAGCGGATTCCAGGTAATTTTGGACTTTTTTGTGACACTTTACAATTTCCCTTCCACCTCTCTTTTCCATGTTTTAGAGATTAGAAATTACCTGGTTTTCTATTCTTTTTCTCCACCACCAAGAGATAATTATCACTTCTCTTACTCTCCTACTGACATTACCTCTATTCCACAAGTATCAACTTTCTTTTCTCTCAGATTATCTCATTCACACCTAAAGAAATTCAGAAAATTGTTCTCTAGTTCTACTCCAGCTGGAAGTTTATTGCTTCTGTTTTATATCTAAATAAGGGGTTTTTTCCCCTGAAGTGTTTACTTTCTAAAAAATCTATACCAGCCGATATAATAAGATATTGCCATAACCTATAAATGTCTTATCATGTACCTTAAAAGCTCAGATAGCTTTCATCCTGACCCTCACACTGACACCCGGCCAATGCACGTAGTGTGATCTGCCCCTCCTTTCCATTACACAATTTATGCTAACACTACAAAGGCTGAAAGGAACCTGTTACACTGTTCTGTATGTATAAAAGCTAGCTATAAGTACTAATCAACAAGTACTGTATTTGATATTGTCTGTATATAATGAGTACTGCTCAGTCACATTCAAACTAGAAGGTATAAAACATACTTGCTCATTGTTTAATAGAATTGCAAGGGATGTACCACTACAAAGCAAACAGGAAACATTTATTTAAGTTCTAGACAGAAAGTGCCAAAAACCCAAATCCTTAACCGGTAGTAGCAGAAACTTAAGAGAAATTCTTCATTACGTTTCTGACTTTTCTCAAGTGTTGTGCTTCTTTTTTACAAGGCATTCTCAACAGCTATGAAGGTCCTTGACGTCTCAGAAATGGCATTATGCTCAAGTGTCTTGGACAAATAATTCATTCCACCTAGCAGGAGATGAGTTTGTATTAGTCATTTGACAGTAACACTACCCAGATTCCCACACTGAGGCTACAGATGTTTGCTGACCTTCGGCAAAAGGGGCGGCTGGCCTGCAGGAAACGGAGCGACGTTCCCAGTCCAACCCCATCCCTGTCTGGAGTACAGGGATGCCTTTATGGTGGGAAGTACACGTGTCTATGTGTGGACAGAAGCGGGCAGGAAGGGGAAGTACTACTCCTTTTCTCCTCTTTAAATAAAAAAAAACCAACCCAAACCACTCTAGAATTAAACCTTGAAGCATCAGGATGTGGATGACCTAGAGGATGTTCTACAATTTCTGTTCCTAAATGGCTTGTTATCATTTATGGTTGGGTTTTGTTTTTTTTTGTAAAAAGGTCAGCGAGCGTTGACCTTTGCCACACCCCCCCAACTCCCACACCCTCCACGCAGGCCGGGGTGCTCTCTTCCCGCCCCCCCGGGCTGGTACGGCAGGGTGGGGCGGTGTTTTGCACCACCAGTTGCTGGCCCGCGATGGTGTCCCCAAGGCAGTTAAGTATCATGTAAATCGCTACTGACGAGAGCTAACGGAAAAGAGAGAATAGCACAGGCAGCCGTACGTCCCTTCAGACGCCGTGAGCCCTGAGCTGTGCAGCGCTGAGTGGGCACCTGCTGGGGGTGCAGCAAGGCCCGTCTGCGGAAAAGTTACCCCGCTGTGGTCGTTCCAGCTGTTACAGGACGACTCTCAACGGAAGCAGCTCGGTACACCGAGCTTTCTGCGGCAGAACTGAAAGGATGTCCAGGCGGGGCCCGCTTCGCCCGGCCGTAAGGCGATCGCCGGCTCCCCCGTGCGCAACGGCCTTCCAGCCCGGACCGCTACCGGGCGGGCGGCGGGTCAGGCCGGCAGCCGCCCCGCC